AATGAACACAGAAATACAACGAAGAAGACAAGAAAAGGCAGATATGTTATCTAAGGCAATGTTTCAACCTAGAAGCAAGAAAAAATAGTTTAATATTTATTATCTCAAATAATAAATATTAAGATGGTTCTTTACAACAGGCATAAATACAAACAGCAAAGAGCACCAAAAAAACGAAAGTCTCTAGACAATCCGGTAGTAAATCAAGCTTCAGAGCTAGAATTTCACCGCCCTAACCTAGATTATTTATTACATTTACAAAAGGAAATGGACGCAATGCAAGCCAGAACTATGAACATGGCAATGAAACGCAGATTACTAGAGGGTCAGATGAAAGCAAACTACGAAACTGAAATGGCAAGATTGAGAGGGGAAATGCATAACCCGAGAATTCCAAAGACTTCTTTAGAACATCTAAAACTAAAGGAACGTTACGATAAAGTATCAACTTTAAGCGAGGCTATTTTCTAAATAAGAATATATAAAAGAATGGTAGTAAAAAAAGAACTTATACAATTTCAGAGACGCTCGCGTTATGAAGATATATTAGATCTAGTTAATGATAACGAAGAAGCTTTAAAGCCTTTTCCTAACAGGGATGCGGTATTTTACAAGGCTAGTAACAAGGGATCGCGCTTTGACGGTAGAGATCATTTAGACAAACTGGTCGCAGAACAGAAGCGAATTAATGCACGAAAGATGCTCGACGATATGATGAGGGAATATGCACAAGACAACGGATTAACCCACAGATCATTATATACAACGAATGATGAACCGAGACGAGCACCACAACAGTTTGACATGGATGCAAACAATCCAACCACTGTAGAAGCATTCGGTAATGACGATTTTCACGATACGGAAGAAGATACCAGTTTTACCCGCGGAGAACTTGAAGGCGTATTACAACGGGCAGATGAAGCAAGACAAGGAAACTTACAGAGCATAGTTGAAGCACACCAACATCAAATAGAACAAGAACAAGAACAAGGCGAAGGCGTTTTAAGAAGTCTTGCAAGGGGAACATTACGCGTAGGCGGAAATATAGCAGGAAACCTAGCCTCTGGACAAGATTTAACAACATCTGTTGTATCGGGAGTAACACAACCAGCACTACAAGCCTTATCAGGGGCAGTTATGAGAAGAATCTTACCACAGCAACGACCACTATTAGACCTTGACAATCCTAGACCACAGCTAGGAGAATATACAGTGTATCCACCCGAAGCACATTTACAACCGCATCAACCAAACGTAGGGGCCACACAACAAGCATTACCACCAGCGACATCTAACCAGCCTCCAACACCCAATGTTCAAGTAGGCGGATCATCTTCAAGCTCTAGCGGGGATGCACCACAACCACAAGCACAAGCAAAAGCAAAAGCACAACCACAACCACAAACAGAAGAAACAGAAAGGAAGGGCTCAAGAAAAACTAAAAAAACAACTCTTAAAGAGGGGACTGATAAACAAGAAGAAGAAGCACCGACACATACATTAATTAAACCCAGTAAGATCGGAATACAAAAAATACGAGAAATGTTTGAAGAAGCTAACAATAGAAACACAATAACAAAAGCCACATACAAACAATACCGAAGCGTGTATAACAAGTGGGTAAAGTCGGTAGGAGATAAGGAGATGAAAAAAGGATATCTGAAAGACTTACAAGATTTATATAGGCAAAATATCTATAATAAATAAACAAGCTTTGAAATATTTCAATAAATTAATCATCTTTATTGAAATATTTGTAAATATGTTTTACAAGAAGTTTTAAAACTTTTAAAATATATAGTAATATATATGACACCAGTTTATGAGAAGCTTTTTGAAATTCTCTACAAGCAAGCAAGACACGAAGTAGAAAAATTAGAAATCATTAAACAGAGCAGGGAAAGTAAAATTGAAGAAATCAAACAAAAATGTGTAATTGAGAAACAAGAACAAGAACAATTTAATAAGGAAATGAATTATTTATTAACACAAATCGAACTACAAAAGGAACTGATAAATTTGTATGAAAAGAATAATTCATAAATTATGGTATATACGATATATACTTCCAGAAATGTATATTAAAAAAAGTTTTAAAAGTTTTAAAAACTAAAATATATAGTAATATATATATATATGTATAAACTCATGAAAGATGTTGCAACAGAAAAAGACATCGGTAAAAGTAAATACAAAGAGATATTGGAACCTTTTGAAGAAGAATTAGATAATTTATGTGTTGAATACGGAAAGAAGAAATACGATTCATGTATGAAGAAAATGAAAATAATGACGAAAATGAAAGAGAAAATTGGTACATCGTTTATGGATGACGAATATATCAAAACAATACAAAACGTTTTAGATAATTTGGAACTATACCTAAAAGAAAAAATGCACTATAAAATTTGAGCAATGGAAATTCTCAAAAAAGAATGTATGAAAAAAATATATTTAATTTTTATTATAAAAAATCTTTAAAAAATGTTCTAAAGAAAAAAATCTATAGTATATTATATAGTGATGTTCAGGCTAACATACTGCTGGAAGTGTGAAGAAATGAAAGAACAACATAAAACATTGAATAAACTGTTACCCGATAATGTTTGTGAAATGCTAGGTGAATACGAGAAGTGTAAATCATGTGCAAAAATTATAAATTTAAATAAAAATTTTGAGTTGCATAAATCAAGGGATGAAAACAAAGATGATGAATATTTCAAACATCAAGTTATATTTGAAAGAATTACAAATAAAAAACCTATTAATGAATTACCATATACAATTCAAGATTTTAAAATTACAATAAAACGAGCAGATATTAACAAAAGTAAAAAACAAAAAATGTTAGATTTTGTAAGACACTACGACCCTAATAATTTAGATGAAAATTATCAAAGTAATATTGAAAAAATACAATGCATAGCAAATACTATACAATATCCTAATATATTTAAAAACAACATAGAAGCTGTAGCTCGTATATATGGAGATGTAATAGGAAATGTAATAAAGGAACTGGTTATACTTTTATGGCAAGATATTATATCAGTAATACAATATAAATATAATTTAACAGATGACGAAATAAGAGAATATGTAGAATTTTTAATAAAATAATAGTTGTAAAGTATATGCTAAACATATGGAAAATTCTGAATAAGCCGCCGCGGTAAATTATGCATAAGACACGATAAAAGTCTAAGCATAAACTAACAAGGCGGGGCTTATTGAATAAATAGTAATTTACAGAATATTTTACATAATGTTTTTTACAATATATTATGTAAAATATTATGATAAAAACGCTTGAGGCGTTTATATGTTGTGAAAAGTTGTTATGCTCGTTGAGGACAAAAAACCGTTGCTTGGTGGCTTGAGAAAAAATGTGAGATGTTTTTTGTTGTAAAATTTGTGTTTTTTAGGGGTGAAGTGGTATATGCGTTGAAAATATTTGAAAAAAATGTGTGGAATGGATGAGCTGGGGTGAAAAATAACGCGTTAGGCGAGGAAGTGGAGCGAAGGAAGTTGAACAAGCCCATACCTAGTCTGCATCTAGGGTGCATGACGGGATGAGCGCAAGACTAGCGTGACTAGCGGTTCGTTTGAAGCAGGCTGGTTCTGCTGTGATGGCTGCAGCGTCAGTGCAGCAACGTGTAAGTTTAGGCGTGAGGCTTCCAGGGTTTGAACTACGCGGGGGTCTGTGAGTTTCTCCGTTTCTCAGCTGGCCTACTACCGCTCAAAAGCCATCAAAAGCCTCTGTCTCTGTGTGTGTGTGTGGGGAACTCTGTGACCAAGAGACTTTGCGAAAAACAGCAGGGGGACAGGAGCAGATTTGCCTACCCTGTCCAACGAAGCTATGGCAAATCTGTGGAAGCACTTGGGGACGCTCACGTGTGTACCTGCAAAGAGGGCCGCCCAAATGTACCCCAAACGAGCTGTTGCTTCCAGTATTGGCCAGGATGTACAGTGAAAGATCTGATTCAGTTCCGAGTGAAATGCACTGCCCAGTGGCTTCATATCTTCACCTCTGACAGAGCTAACAATGTAATCAGAGGGAGGATTTCACGAGTGTGATTCTAGACGGTTTTTCGTTCATCGTGCCGTCTACGGTGGGAGTGCCTACTGCATTGGACCCTGATCGGTCCTGAGCCCTGATCGGCTCCATGATTAGGACCCTGATCGGTCCCGTAGTACTGAACCCTGATCGGTTCGCCAGGTAGCCGTGCCCGGAAACGGCACATTGTCTCAGTCTGGATAAGACAGGATCAAGGCTGGTACATTTTCGGTTTGTCTCAATGTGAGACCTCGCTGCATTCAGCCTCGAGACCAGTTGGGCCCAACCAGGAACTGTTCTAGTTTTCATTCTCCCTCCGGACGCTTTCTGTTGCGAACATGGCTTATTGGTACGAGAGGAATTTGCAGGGCACGAACAACCCAGACTCCGACACTTGGAGTCAAAGCAGTCAACGAAATCAAGACTGGTATGCATCTGACTTGAGTGATTGGGCCAAGTCGTCGAAAACTTCGGCGCCGACAGCCCTCAAGCCTACACTTCCAGCATCCTTTCAATCCGACGACAAGTTTTGGGACAAACAAGCTATCGGCAGACAGGGGCACCAGCTCTACAAGGAAGTTCAACCGCTTGAATGGAGCCGCAAGAATAACCTTGCTGGCCGCCCAGTCGAAGACATTCGTGCTTGGGAACTCTCACACCGTGGACTTTCAGAGTTTTCCTTTCGATTGAAGGATAAGGACGATTGTGGTCGCCGTCGTCGCTCAAGCTATCATGTCCTGGGTGCCCCAGGTTTTGGACCTCTTGGTTCAAGGGTCTTTGAGTGGGTGGTGGGGCTTAGGGTGCCCAGCGCATTGCTCATCCTCGGCCCTCCTTTCCTTTGCCATCCTCCTTTCGGGCTTTGGACTTGGAGCCCTCTCCACCCTTTTCTTCTTTCGCGAAACGCTCTTCCGGTCCTTTCCTTCGGCTCCCCACGTTCCTCCTGCCTATCGGCCTCCCTTTTAATCCCGTTGGCAGGGTATCTGCATGAGTGATAGCAAGCCTGAGGTCGACCTGGACTCTCTTACCCAGGCCATCGAGCAGCTCCATCTGGCTACTGGACCCCTTGCCCGGGCCGTGCATCGGCCCCAGTCCTCCAGCTCCGACGGCTGGGTGGTGGTGCCTGCAGATTCCCCGACCTCTAAGGACCCTAGTCCCGAACCTGCCGTTGGGGTTGCCTACGCCGAAGCCACCCTTGCCCCTAGGTTTCGGTTTAGGCCTCCTCGCCCCTGCAGAGCCGGGCCCTGAGAGCCTGCTGCGCTTGGTGGTTGGTCTTGCTCCTTCTGTGCGTGTTGAGCGGGCCCGCCGTGCTTGGAACGCCGGACTTCAAGCTCGCCAGCTCCTTTCCGGAGCCCAAGACTTTCCTGACTCCACCCCGCCTCTGCAGGTTCCAGGTTCTACGTGGTTCTGCGGAACGGCCGAGGAGGTGAGCCAGCCTGCTACCATAGCTTTGCCAGTTTCAAGAGGGACGTGGCCTCTCTCAGGGTTCGGGCACCGTGTGCCACGGCTTCCCCACTCAAGGCGAGGCCAGAACGCGTCGCCTGCCGGTGTTCCCTTGCCCCGCATCCTGCCGTGATGGCCTCCGACATGCTGGTTTTTGCTTCCGAGGGCCACCTTTTTCCTTATTTGGCTCGCCCGCCTGTGGCTGGCTCCCCAGGGGATGGAGATCGCCGTGTGCTTTGCGTGCCTGTTCTTCCCAGCAATGGTGGGTTTCTCCTCGCGCTGCCTGCCGGCTCCATCCCTCCCAGCTTGCTTTCCCGTGGCCAAGGTGCCGGTGCCAAAGATATGATAGGCCCCTCTACAGAGCTAACCGTTCCTGCTGCCAAACCTGGGCCGAAGAGGGTCACCACTGCTCAGTTGGCCGACCAGCTGGGATCGATCAGCCAGCTCCTGCCGACCATCACCAGCCAGCTAAAGGAGATCTCGGAGAAGCAGCGTGCTTTGGAGGAGAAGGTGGAGAAGAGGCGGGCCGAGCCGCAGTGGCTCCTCACCGCAAGCCTTTTGTGTTCCCCACAGCGAAGGCAGGCACAGGTATGTCAGGCGTCGGGGCCCTGGCTTCTCAGGTGGGTCCACCTCCTACGGCGAAGGCTGCTGCACCCGCCTTCGTCGAAGACGGGCCTCAGCAAGATATGCTGGAACTCGCGGACCCAGCCTTCAGGAAGCTAGGCGACGGCTCGGCAACCTCGGCCCTGACTCAGCAGACCCAGGCCCTCACCCAGCTGGTGGCGCACCTGATTCAGAACTCCGAAGGGGGAGCAGACTTCGGGGGCGGCCAGCGGATGCCCGGCCTTTCCTCGAAGGGCAGTGCAAAAAGGGAACGCCTTCTTGCAGAGCTGGCCGAGAAGAACGGCTCTTTCATGCTGGCTGTGGCACAGCAGGGTTACCGCCGGATGTACCCATCCGAGAGCGTCCCCGAACCTTGGAGGATTTTCGCGTCGAGCCCCGCCGGTTCACTTTTTGGAGAGGTACGGGGGCTACGAGTCCCAACGAGAGCTCGCCCTAACCATGCACATGACAACTCAGATTGCCGACGTTCTCCTCGCGGGGGAGACAGAGCCTGCTCTGGACCTGCTGGCCTTGATGATGACCTGCCTCGAACAGGTTTGCCAAGACGGGGGCAAGTGGGAAGTTGGCTACATCCTTTCTCTGTTCCCCGAGCCGGCCCACCAGGTCTTCTCTTCGAAGGGCAGCCCGCAGAATCCCAGACTCCGTGCCTGGGCTCCACTGTGCCCGGCCCCTTGGGCCACCACAGCCCTCGCCTTTTTGAAGGAGGCCGACAATACTATGGCCGGCAAGAAGCCTCAGGATCAGCGACCTCGTCGGGGAAACCTCTGGATGCAGACCCTGCTGCAAAGAAGCCTCCGAAGATGTTGCTCGGGTGCCGCTCTGTCTAGCTGCTCTCCTCGGTCTGCCTTTTGCTGGGTGGCCGGCCCCGCACCGAGTTTGGCCCTCCCATGTGGGGGGCCATGGAGAACTCTAGCAGAGTTTAGTAGGGGGCCTTGTGTGGGAGGGCCAAATGGGCTGGCAGCATGCTCAGTGGTGCGAGAAGCCGGGGCCTCAGGCCTTTGCCAGCCCCTCTACTATAGTACCATAAGGCCCGGCCCCTATGAACTGCCCCGGCCTGCCGGCTTGCCTCGGGTCCTTTGCCGCATGACCTCTTGGCGCCATGTTTTAATTCCCAGCCCCCCCCTGCGAACCCGGACCCCCTTTGCGGCCTTCCTGGCCTCCCTTCTGCACCTGCAACCGGCGAGCGACGCCTCGCCCTCCAAGTCTTTGTTCCCCTTGCCCATTCCTTTCTATGGTTTGTTTTCGGCAAGCAACCCGCGACTGAGTGCTGCAGCCCGCTCCCGCCTCGGAGCCCGGCGGCTCACCTTTGTGACTGTGGCCGCCCTCAACTACCTGCACGCCGGCTCCCGTAAGGTGCCCCTCTCAGCCATGCGGAGGCCCCCGAATAGGCACCAGGCCAAGGCACTGGACTATATCGGCAGGCTGATCAAGACTTGTGCCGGATGTTCGGGCATTTGTGTGCCTGACTCGTCCCGACGTGCACGCCAATTACTTGCAAGACTCGGTGAGGTTTCGGATCGCCTCACCTCAAGTTTTCCACTGATAAGTACGGGCCCAGCTTTCCAGGTGTCAAGCTCGATGAGCCCGCCGCCTTTGATGCTCGGCACCCCTACCGGAGCCTCGACCCGAGTAGGCTTAAACTTTCGGGCAAGGCAAACTGGGACCCCTCGGACCACCTCGACGACTTGTTCTTCTTGGCTTTCAGGGAGCCCGACCTTTTGCTGCTGCGGTCGTGCCCGACCCCTGGCTTTTCTGAGGTGCCTGACCTCTCGAAGGAATCCGCTGTCAAGGTGTACGACCTGGCCCGCCGCTGGGACAGCCTAGGCCTGCTTCGTCTAGCCTGCTCTGGCCCTTCCCCTGTCTTTCAGGGTGTTCGCGTGTTTAATGCCTTGAAAACGGCCGAGGTTGACCGACAAATAGGGGATAAGCGAGGGAGAAACCTTTGCGAAGGGACCCTGTCTGGTCCATCGTCTGCCCTTCCCTGCGGCCCTCAGCTCACCAGCTTCTACCTCGACCCCAGACGGCAGGAGTTTTCGATATCGGTGACAGATAGATCCGACTTCTATCACCAATTGGCGGTTCCACCGCGGCGTGCTTTGAGGAATGTGTTGGTGCCCCCGCTCGCGGCGTCCCGGGTTGCTGACCTCCAGGCCTTCAAAGCCCAGCCCCTTCTCGACGACGTGCCCTCTGGCCTTCGGCGAGGCCGGCCTTGCAAGAAACTCTTTGCCTGTTTCGGTGCCGTGCTCCAGGGAGACGCGCTCGGAGTGGAAGTTGCTACTTCCTCCCACGGCCGGTTGTTGTGTGCCGGCGGTCTTTTGGACCCGACCTCTAGGCTGTGTGGGGGCCAGACTTTCCCCCACGGAGCCCCCGAAGACCTGGTGCAGGGGCTGATCATCGATGATTTTTTTGCGATAAGCTGGATCGAGGTTGGAGCCAAGGTTCCCTCCCTAGCCTCCCGTGCGCTCGCCCAGGCCCGGGCCATCTATGCCAAGGAGGGACTCAAGGGGTCGGTCGAGAAAGACATTGATGGCAGCAGTTGCGCTACCGTTGGGGGCGCTGAGCTCGATGCCTCCGCTTCCACGCGTGCCAGAGGGGTAGTCGCCGTGGGCCCCCCTCGGGCCAAACGACTAGGCCTTGCTGCCATCACCCTCGAGAGCTGCCGCTTGAAAAAGACGAGTGATGTTCTACACTTGTGTTTGGTCGGCGGCTGGGTCTCGGGGTTTTGCTTCAGGAAGCCCCTCATGGCCTGCTTTGACAAGGTCTTCACCTTTGTGAACGCCACCGAGGTCGACTCTAACCGCCCCCGTGTCCTGGACCTCTCCAGGTCTGTTGCTGATGAGCTCGTCCTCGCGGCCTCGCTCTCGCACCTCTTTTTCAGTGACCCTGGGCTAGCCAGCTGTTTGCCACTGACTCCTCAGAGTCGCGCGGGGCTATCGTGCAGAGCCCGTTTAGAAAGGAAACCACGGCTCTACTCTGGAGCTCTACCTCAAAGGCTGCAGCTCCTGCTCGGCTCCTTTGCCGTGAGGAGGCCGCCCTTAGGCGGATAGACCCTGACTACGAGCCCCGGCTCCCGCCTCACGAGGGCTCCTCTCCGAAGCGTCCCCCTGCCTGTCGATACCATTACCTGCAGTTTTGGGGATCGTGCAAGGGTATAGGCCCCTACCTTGAAGCCCTAGGTTGGACCACGGGACCCTGCATCGACCCTAAGGTTTCCATTGAGTACGACCCGGCTTCAACGCGTGTGTTTGAGTGGGCTGCTTTTTTGGTCGAGTCGGGTCGCCTGCTGGCCGTAGACCCTCGTCTCGGGAGGCCCGCGCAAACCGGTACACTGCTCACTGCCTTGCCCTTTTGCACGTCTGCCAGCGCCATGGGATCCCAGCTGCGCTTCTGCACTCAAAGGACTCCTTTGCGCCCCAGCTCAAAGCTTGGAGGGACCTTTGCCAAAGGAAGGAGACTAGAACTGCGCAGCTTCCTGCTGGGAGAAGTCAGGGAGGGACCCTTTTCCTGACAGTTGGGCTCCCTCCTCTCGAGCTCCTTGTGAGGACTTGGCGGCGAGATCTTCTGAAGCCGGCTCCCGGGGACAGTTGCGACGAGGAGGTCTGGCTCGAGGCCGCTGCTGCTCTGGATGTTGGCCTGTCTCTTCGTGCTCAGCTGCCGCCTTGACGCAGAAGGCCTTGAGACCCCTCTCGTCAACGACCTTGCGCTGTCTTCCGCCTGGACCACCCGACGTGTCTGGAAATGGCCCGGCCCCGTGCATTTTAACATCCTGGAGTGTTCGTGCATTTACCGGCTCCTTTGCTCCCTTGCCCGCAGCTCCGGCCCTCTTCGGTTTGCAACACTGTGTGACAGCGCCGTTACATGCCATGCTCTGCGAAAGGGCGCAGCCCTTCTCTCGGTCTTGGCAAGGTCCTCAGGAGGATCTCCTCCCTCAGCCTTGCCTTCGGCCTTTAATTTAGTGCACCCTACTGCCCTACACGCCTCATGCCTGCAGACCACCCGTCGCGCGATGCCGACATCCCCGACCCTTTGCCTAGTCGGCTTGATCACCTTTCCAGCTGTGCCGAGCTTCTACCGCTGACCAGGATAGTCCCGTGCAGACGGTGGGCGGCAAACTGGCTGCGACTGTTTTCCTGCCTGGCTCGCTACCGGCCACCTCGGCCTGGCGAGGCGTATCGGTACCAAGGCCGTTCCTCACGGACTTTTGTGCCATGTCCCTTGGATTTTCTTTCGTCTTCGTTCGCCCCTTCGGCTTCGACTTCCGATGGGTGGCGGCCCCCTCGGCCTTTCACGCCTCCCCCTCTGGATTTTGACTCCTCGCTTGGCTTTCCCGGTGAAGGGCCTCATGCCTATAGCTTTGCTTTTCCTCGGCCTTTCAGGCCTCCTCTTGTGGACTTCGACTCCTCGCTTGGTTTTCCCGGTGAAGGGCCTTCTCCTCTGAGCATTTGCGCTTTTGTCTGGTGGGGCGTCCTTTTCGCTTTGTTTGTTCAGGGAGTTCAGGGTCCGGTTCCTTTAGCCTCGAGCCATGGTTTCCTGCTGCCTCGTTCTGCACGTGACCAACAGAGGCAGGAGCGCCGTGGGACAGGGGACCTGCCTTTGGGACGGCCCGTTGAGCCAGCCACCCAGAAGAACCGCGAGTTCTTATGGTCCAGCTTCTGCGAATGGCTTGCTTCAGCTGGGATTGAGCGAGCTCTTTTCGAGACTGTCGAGGGACAGCAGGACATAGATGGCATAAACGCCATCCTGGGGAGGTATGGCCGCGAGCTCTACCGTGCCGGCCGTCCTTACGCTCACTTTTCGGAGACCCTGAACGTGTTTAGCAGTCGGGTGCCAAAGCTCAGAAGGCTTCTTCAGCCGGCATGGGACGTCGCTTTTGCTTGGAGGAGAGAAGAACCCTCCTTGCATCATGCTGCTATGCCGTGGCAGGTGTTGGTGGCCCACCGCTCTACTCTGGGGCTGGGCCAGAGTTGCAGGAGCTCTGGCACTGGCATGGGGAGGCCTTCTTCGGATCGGTGAGGTTTTAGGAGCTTTTCGATCCGACCTCCTCTTGCCCTCCGATGTTCAAGGGACCTCGGACTATGCTTTATTGTCCATACGGAACCCGAAGACGAGGTTTTCTGCAGCGAGACACCAGGCTGTGAGGGTCGACCAGCCGGACCTGCTTGCAGTGCTCGAGCTCGTTTTTCAGAAGGTCCCTTCGGGGTGCAAGCTCTGGCCCTTTTCGGGTCAGACCTTGCGCTCTCGCTTTCAGCAGCTATGCTCTTCGCTGCAGCTGCCTATTGGAAGGTCACCTGGGAAGAATGGCCTTGAGCTCTCATCTTTGAGAGCAGGAGGCGCTACCTGGTTGATGAACACTGTCGAGGACTCAGAGTTCGTGAGACTCCGAGGCCGCTGGTTGTCTCATCGTATTATGGAGATTTACATACAGGAGACTACCTCGCTACAGTTCCTTCCGACTCTTCCAGCAGCCTCACGAGTGAAGGTATTTCTGGCCCTTGAGACGTTCCCTGAGATACTGAATCGCGTGACCTTCTTTACCTCCGCCGGCATTTTGCCGACGATCTGGTTTAAGCTGCTCGCCGAGGGTTCGTTCACGACGACGGATGGGAGGACGATGGGTGGCAGACTGCGCAAAGCAGCTGTCGCCCAAAACGGGCGGCTTGTGAACTCTACTTCCGCTGTGCAGAAGGAAAAGAGAGGCGTGAACTTGAGTCCTTGAAGGATAAGGACGATTGTGGTCGCCGTCGTCGCTCAAGCTGCCCTCCGCACCCGCCCGCGACCCTCGACTGCGCAAAGCAGCTGTCGCCCAAAACGGGCGGCTTGTGTACTCTACTTCCGCTGTGCAGAAGGAAAAGAGAGGCGTGAACTTGAGTCCTTGCTTAGTGAAGGTCGCTACCAAGGACTTGTATGGACCCGTTCCGCGTCTGAAGCAGTGTTTTTGACACAACTTTTGAAAAGAGTCCGGGAACTCGACTTGGATCTGGATGAGGTAGCCAGGTCTTTTTTCACTGAAGATGTTCTTGACAAGCACAAAGATGCTACCAAATTCATGCAGGGACTCGCCAATGACGTTGCAGAACATATGAAGGCAAAGCTTCCACTCCAAACTTCCGTGGAAGACGCTGAAGCACTGGCCAAAGCCAAGGCCAAGCTTGCGGCGCACGGCCTCCAATTGACTCCAGTTAAACGGACCTGTACAGATGAGCCGTCGCAACAACCTGCAACCAGTTCCGAAGGTCGAGAATCGGCCCCAGGAGCTAACAAAGGGCTCTATGGATCATGCGAAAAGAGTTGAAGTTGCTCAAAGGAGCATGCGACAAATGTGAAAGTGGACTGTAGATGAATGTTTGAAAGTTCGAGTCAAGTCAAGGAAAGGACTTGAATCGAAGAGGGCGTAACAAACAGTTCAATTTTCCGTGAACCCCCTTCGGGACCATAATTCACAATGTTTCACTCCGTAACGTCAAGGCTCAAGGTAGGCTAGAAAGCGACCGTAGACAGCCCACCGCTGTCTGTGGAAAAGTGAAAGAGCGATCCGGTGATCCAAGGGAACCTTAAAGTTTGGTTTAAAACTTTCAGATGAACTTGACCAGCTTCTTGAGAAAACAATCCAGGCTACCAGCCAGTGCGTTGCTTTTTGGGGAACCTTGGGTTCGTGTACGCTGCGCACAGCCAAAGTCCGAAGCCGCCGCGTGTAGGGGATTGGCCATGAAAACGCACCGTTCCGGAATGCTGTGTTTTTGCTACTAATCCGCCATTAGCGGTGGAAACTCATTACTCGCGTGGCAAGCGTCCGAAACCCACTGCTTGTAGGGGAGTAGCCATGAAAATGCTTTTTGTTACTAATCCCCTACTAGCGGCGGAAACTCACTGCGCGCATGGCAATCGTTGTGTTAGTCTTTCGGAATTTTGATTTCATTTGCTACCAATGTTCGGGTATTCTGCGTCGTCTTGGAAAGCAATCGCATTCGGGTTCGTGGGTCCGGCTTTAATTATCGGCCTTGTTTGTGGAAATTTTGGGCATTCGATGTGATGTCGATGTCACATCACTCATGAACGATTGTTTTCACTAGTGTTTCACTTGTGTGAATTTGAATCATGTGGCAGGAAAAACACGTAAGGCAACATGGATGAAATCACACGAACCTGCCGGCTGGGTGCCATGGCCTACTTTTCATTATGTGATTTTGTATTTCACTGTTGAAAACCGCATGCTGTGTGAGCTTGGGAGCCGAGCAAAAATGCAGTGCGACGTGTCACATCAGACCCAAAACAAATAATCATGTCGGACTGCAGTGCATTTAATCACTCACTCGATGTCATTTTACTCCAAAGTCCGCAAGGGTAACAGTATCGTGAGTTTGTATGCCGGTGCGAGCGGAGCCGAGCGACCGGCAAACCCTTGAAGGGAATTGTTTCTCTGGTCTTTTTGCAGATTTAAATATGTCGCAAAGGTACATGGGAAACGAAACATATTTCAGCACATATATAGACTATATACGCCTTCTCGCTTGCGAGACAGCATTTTATTTCCCAAACTGTTTTCTGCCGCATGTGACGTGCCATGTCTCCGTACATTTCTTTGTGCTTGATTTTGCTGTGTGCAGCTCTTGATTCTTAAGTGGGGAACAACATGTTGTTCTTGTTAACTTTGCGCCAGAACTATCCACTTCATGCAAAGTTTCGGCTGTGTGCAGCTGGTGAGTTTTATTTTTCGGGGCGGGGTTTTCATGGACCGCCGCCGCATCGCTCGTCGTGCGCCTGTGCCTCTTCGACGCCTCATTGTTCTGTGGTTTACTGAGAGCTCCCTGGTTCGGGGCTGGAGGAGTGAGATCCTGGGGCCAGGTTTGGAGGCCTTGCTGGGCGCACTCGCTCCAGGCTCCCTGGTCCTGTTGTTCATTGGTTTCGACGGGAGTGCTGGGTTGCAGACCTCGAATACCAGCATTCGAGCCATATCTCTTGCAAACTGCAGATATCGTGAACGACGACAGGCGTCGTCTCAGCCAGCTTTACTGGGGGCTGGCCGGACATTAGCTGCACCATGGCCTCTTTCCCGTCTGGGTCTACTTCGTCTCCTGCGAGGGGGGGTGGACGTGCCGAAGTCGCCCCAGCAGATATTGATCGTCTTATCTTTACTGCTCGTGTACAAGGGCTGCCAGACTCGTTACCCCGGCTGCCATGGGAGTCTGGAGTTATGGCCATGATCTTTGGTGACGGCATTTTGCCAAAGCCTGTAGTGGTGCAACCGTGTGCACCATCCAAGGACACGACGACAGCTGATGGAGATCCCATTTTGGCTTCAGCATCTCGTGTGCGGCCTGCTCCAAGTACTTTGTTCGAGAAATCCTTTGCTTCCAGGGCGGATGTCCCCGTGCACGAGGAGGACGAGCGGCTCTGGACCATGGCCGTGGGTAAGTGGTGTAGCATCTTTGCTTTGGCACACAGCGACCCGGGTCAGGTGGGTGAGCAAGCTGCCCAGTGCTTCGCTGCGGAGGGCGAAGCCGCCCGTGATGAGCTCCTTCGAGACGTTTTTGGTCTTCGGTCGCCAAGGACAGCAATTAAACGTGCCAATGCCTTGCTTCGCTGTTTCAGGTGGCATCAAAGGGAGCACGACAGTGTGTGGCCGTGGGACAGACCTTCCATCACTGCCTTTGTGAGGTCTCTGGGCGACTCAGTCAGTGCAGTGAGTGGTCTCTTCGAAGCAATGAATTTTGCACATCATGTGATGGGCCTTCCTTTCCATGCAGACATTCTCGCCGATCGCAGGCTGCAGGGACGAGCCAAGAGGCTTGCAGGCGACAAACCTGAAACCAAACAGCAGGTTCCGCTGACTGTGGAAGCCGTGGCGAAACTCGAGAGACTGGTGGCGGGGCGAACTTTGTGCAACACAGACACTTATGTTTTGGGTGGCCTGTTGTTTGCTTTGTACAGTCGGTCCAGGTGGTCTGATCTGAAACAGATACATTCAATCCGGATTGACTTCGACGACAGTGATGGAGTATCTGGTTTCGTGGAAGCCAGGACCAGAGAACACAAGACAAGCAACACTGTTCGTACCAAAAGGCGAGCCATGCCTTTGGTTGCACCTTTTCCCGGTGTGACGGAAGCAAGTTGGGTAGCTGCCTGGCAAGATGCAGGGCGGCACCTCGGTGTCGTATGGGATAATGAGCCTTTCGGCCCGCTAGTGCGAGCGCCCGACAGCAACGGCCGCCTCTGTGCCAGGAGGTGCTCTTCTAGCGAGGCAGGTGCTATGCTCTGCAATGCTTTGGATCTTGAGGGGCTTGAGCGGCGCACATCGCATGTGCTGAAGGGTACAACTTTGGCCTGGGTTGGCAAGCGAGGTTTCAGTGAGCGCGATGGCTTACTTCTGGGACACCATGCTCCAGGCTCCAGCTCTTTGGCCTGCTACAGTCGGGAGCTTTTGAGTGCACCCCTCAGGGCCTATCGGGCCATGCTTCGTGAGATCCGCGACAACACCTTCAGGCCTGACACGACCCGGTCAGGTTGGTTGGCTAGCTGCGACAACCTGGAGCTGCCGAAGACTGGTGGCTTCTTGAGTGCTGATGTGGGCGGTGCCGATGCTCTACAAGCTGCGGTTGGTCTTTTCGCTGCAGGTGGTGCTGGCCCCATTGACGCTGGAGCCCAAGATGAGCTGGAGCACTACAGGGCTCACAATTTATCTGAACCAGCAGCTTCCTCGGGTCCTGCTGGCGAGTTGGGGTCTTGGGATGAGGTAGATGTGTTTGGCGAGGCGCCCCTTGAGGGCGAATCAGGGCTCCATGCCGAACAATCTGAGCCTGGCTCTGCGGTCGATGCAGGATATGATCGGCCGGACTCACCTTCTTTAGGTGACTCCTCTTCCTCCTCGAGTTCGAGCTCTTCCGAGGCCAGTGAGACCGAGGAGCAGACTCTTGCGCACTGTAGGGTCGATCAACCGTATGAGATAGATGAGCCGTGCTGGCAACATGTGAAATCCAGAATGCTCCATCGTGTGCATGGGGATCGGAGCCGTGTGCTGGAAGGGGGAGCTACTTGCTTCCAAGGGAGCCCTCGCTGAGAGGCTCAATGTGCTTATGAAGCGCAGCTAATCGCACTGCGTGTCGAAACATTCGGGAGCGTGCTCTCATGACCAGGGTGCGGTCGAGTGTGTGCTGTCTGGTTGAGCATGTTGTGCTGCTGACTTGACAATGATCTGTACTCGCCGGCTGTGTGCAGGTATCCGGTAGTGACATGTGTGCATGTGACAACAACTTAGGTTACAATGGCTTAGCTTTCGTTCTGCCAGAGTTTGACTTTGCATTTCTCTGTTTCCGTGGTTGTGCACAAACAGACTTTTGGAAGTACGGCTGTTCGTGCGCTTGCACCATGGCGGCCACTTCGGTTCTAGCGTCGACTGCAGCCTTCAATCGACGGTGCGAGAGTGTGGGGCTTGCTCAGGTTTGGATCGATGCTTTAAAGAATAAGGGTGTCACGACTCTGGGGAAGCTGAGCTATGCTGTGTCTCTTCCGGGCACCCAGCCATCTGTTGATGACATGGACAATTTTACTGCAACGCTGCGTCCAGGTGCTCCGATTACTTTGGGTGATAGCTCGGCTTTGAAGCAGCTCATTTTTGAGTCGCAAACCATGACGGTGGCAGAACTTAGATCTGCAATGCAATCCACTGATGAAGTGCATCGCAAGTTGCCTGCTTCAGAGCGTTCAATGAGGATCGAGGCCCAAAAACAGAGACTGGTGGGCCTCCCCCTGGAGGGCCCTCTTGCTGTCGCGCATAGTGTGTATGATAAGCTTGCAACCATGCGTGAGAATGATGAGCTTAAATATCTTCCCCCCGGTGAGTGTTTGACTCGTGATGCTGAGCTTTGCAATGAGAAGCCACCCAAGGCCTTGCAGCTGGATGCAAATAAGACAGGTCTGATTTTCAAGGACGAAGAAGCGACTTCTGCGATGTCCATTGACACAGACTTGCAGCTCTACCAAGCCATGGTCAGGAGAGCCCTGGCTATGGACCTTGTGGGTTTAGCCACGTATGCTACTGTGCAGCGGTGGAACGAGCGTTTGTTCCGGATCATGAGTCAAGATCCTCCTCCGGAGTTTCAGAGGGTTACGAGGGCTCAAGTGTTGCGTGCCGACCGTCAGTGTTTCCTGGAGCTTGCCCGTGTCTGCAACGGTAACCTGAAGCCTGACGCTTCAGGGGCCTTGCCCCTCGACAAGGAATTCGAGAAGCTCGAATTCAATGCGAGCATCATGTACTTCCTGCTCCCGGTTAAGGGTCGAGGCAAAGGTGCAGGCAAGAAGGGGGATAGAGATGGCGCGGGCCAAGGCACTAATGGCAATGGCCATGGTAATGGTAAGAAGCGAACCGCAGGTGCCGACGATGCCCCAGGCAAGAAAACGAAGGTCACTCGTGATCCCATCCCAGAGGCCTTGCGAGGAATGCACTCGCGTACACCCGACAACAAGCCGATATGCTTCAACTTTAATTTGGGCAAGTGCAAAGCTGGAGCGAAATGCAAGTTCAAACATGTCTGTTGCAAGCCTGGCTGTTACAAGGCTGATGCCATGGTGGATCACGATTCTTCGAGTGTCGAGTGACAGGACACTTGCACAGGTGACGTCATTGCTCATGCCGTGCCGGACTCACCACTGTCGCCTGTGCATTCGCCCGAGTCTGTTTCGCATGCAGCTGCATTTTGCAGCGATCGCAAGTTTTGTATTGAAGTGTTTGCTAGGCGTGCCAGCCTGTGTAGCTTTCTCCGAACGGTGTTACCAAGCTCATTTGCCATTGGCAGTGGGTGCTCGCAGGCCGCGGCGGCGCCAATCGTACCGGTGGACATTTTGACCCAGGGAGGTTTTGCTCTTTGCGCTTCTTGGGTGCGTGAACCGCAGTGTGCATGGGTCCACATTCGCTGTCCCAAGTCTCTCTTTTATGACGTATCAGGGAATTCACTTTCTTCAGTTGCCGAGCAATGTGTTTGTGCCATTTCCAACTTACTGAAACACTGCAAGGATGCCGAGTGCCATTGGACGATTGAGGCTCCTTCGCGGTCAACCTTCTGGTCGACCTGGCTGGGCAAGCAGCTCCTTCCAACGGTGGTGGCTGTAAGCCTGTCCTCTTTCGGGTCCTTTGCTAGGGGTTGCATTAGGTTTGCCTCGTCTGCCCCTAGTTGCCTCGCCGAGCTCCAGTCACCCTACCCTGTACCTGCCAAGGCCTGCTCGGAGGTTGTGTTGGGTCGGCTTTATAGAAGCCTTGCGACTGCCATGCTGGCTTTTCTCAATGTTCAGGCACCCATCGTCCCACCTCTCGAGGCTGCACAGATTGGCACAGGTGGGCAGCCGCGCAAGGCTTCTTTCTCGCCGGTCCCCGAGTTCAAGTTGTTCATGCAAGTACCTTTGCAATCTGTGCCCAAGCTTGATGGCAAGAATCGCCTGCTAGAGCCACTCTCCACGCAGGGTGTTGTGGTGCCCATGGGTTCCAAGCTTTTGCAGCCCTTAGTCTCGCTGACAGCCGTATCCGGCCTGGGGGTGTGTCGAACAGCTGTCAATCGACACTGTCATCGGGGGGTGGGTCGAACATCTGTCAATCGGCACTGTCATCGGGGGGTGGGTCGAACATCTGTCAGTCGATGCTGGCATCTGCCTCGTCATCACCTGGGGTGGCGACACCCTCCCCTGCCCCTGCTTCCTGCCCTGCTTCCCGCTCCCCCTGTGGTTTAGGGGGTGTCGCCTTAGGTCCTAGGGGTTCTGACACAGGTGCAGGTGCAGGACCTTCTGACACAGGTGCAGGTGCAGGACTTTTCCGAGCTCCTACGAAGGGGTCGTGTGCAACATCAGTCAGTACAGATGGCGAAACTCCAGTGCCACCTATCCGGGCCGAGGAGCTCGGGAGATCACAACAGCCTTCCAAAGGTGCACTTGAAACATCTGTCCAGGTCGTGGGGTGCGAAGCCGAATTATTTGCATCTTGCCCTGGCTTTTCACCTAGTGCCGAGTCTTTGCTGCATATCTTTGACTTGCTTCCTGCTGAGGTTCCCGCTCGTGGTGTCATGGATGCACGTGAGAAAGCGTGGTCTGCTGGTGCTTATTCGCATGGCACCCTTTGTGGCTTGAGGCGGAACACACGGGCTTTCCCAGCGGTTGTGAAAACGGCAGTTGCATGGCTGAGAACCCAGGTGCCTGCTGCAACGTTTTCGGCCATTGCGATCTACTCCAACGTGTGTGCACCTATGCATAAGGACAAAAACAACATGGAGGGATCCCTGAACTATGTTGTGCCACTCACGACTTTTCGAGAAGGGGGCATATGGGTGCAATGCAATGAAGGCCAGGTTGCTAGGACTACCCCTCAGGGCAAGGTGCAGGGTAATGTCTTGCCGGTGTGCGATGGTGCTATCCAGTTCGATGCTCATCGCTTCCACTGCACTTTGCCTTGGGTTGGTTCTCGGGTTGTCTTGATAGGGTTTACACCAGCACACCTGCACAAACTCCAGCCAGAGGAGAAACGTGTGCTCCTGGACCTGGGTTTCCCGCTCCCGTGTTTCCAAGGTGGCACAGGTTGCGAACCCTGTGGGCGATGAGCCTCTCCACAAGCGTGCCCGCCAGGATGCCACTGCCCCTGTTCTTGCAATGCCTCGTGTAGTAACCTTTGGTGTGCCTTATACAGAAAGCGAGTTCGTGCGCGCAGCCATCAAGGCGGGCCACCCGCGTTCCGTGGTCTCGTCTTTGCCACCGCATCTTGACTCATGTGTGGACCTGCTGGCGTGCTCTCCCCCACATGAAGTGATCAAGAAGCGGCAACTGTGGCTTGAGCGGTGGACTTCACGAGCCGCCGAGATTGGAGCCAATCCGGATCCCGAGTGGGGGATCTCTGATCCCCACATGCACAAAGTGCTACGCCAGAAAAGGTTGCAATTACTGGACGAGATCATTGCATCTGAGGGCTACGAAGATACCAACCTTGCTCATGATATCAGGGCCGGCTTTGACCTGGTGGGGACCTCGCCAGTTTCCAACATCCTGCCGGGCAAAGTTACACCTGCTACTTTGCATCCCGACGACCTACGTGCAGCCTCGACTAAGGCCAATGAGGCTCTGAAGACCACTCTGGGCTCCTCAGGTTGCAAAGAGCAGGACGAGAAATTATGGGCCAAGACCATGCAAGAGGTCGAACGTGGGTGGCTCCTTGGGCCATATGACTGGTCTGACTTGCCTGCTGATCATGTCGTGTCCCACCGTTTCCCGCTGTCGCAAAACGGGAAAATAAGACCGATCGATGACTACAGCAGAAGTGGGGTGAATGCCTGTGTCACTACCCTTGAACAGCCTACTGTGGACACCGCGGACGTTGCAGCTGCAATGTTTGCCAAGTTGTGCGATCGCCTCACGAAGGCTAAAAGATCTTCACTCATCATGGGCCGTTCTTTTGACCTTACCGCTGCCTATCGGCAACTGTGTGTTTCGTCAGCCTCGCGGCAGTATGCTGTCATTGCGGTGTACAACCCGCACACCCAGAATGTTGCCCTTTTCACTCAGGTCTGCTTGCCTTTCGGTTCGCGTGCATCTGTTAACGGGTTTATCAGATGCTCGAGGTGCATACAATGGCTAGCGACTAAGCGCCTCTTGGTACCCACCACCTCCTACTATGATGATTTCATAGTGGCTTCCCCCGACTGCCTTGCTGATAACACGGGAACCACCATGGAACTGCTGTTCCAACTGCTAGGGTGGGTCTTTGACACGGAAGGTCCGAAAGCAGATGTGTTCTCTCGGCAGGTGTCAGCACTTGGATTACACTTCGATTTATCGGCGTGTGGGGAAGGTGTTGTGGTTGTCGACAACACAAGCAAGAGGAAGCAGGACATTGCATGCTTAGTCTCTGGTGTCCTGGAAACCAAGATGTTACCCTATAAACAAGGTCTTGAGCTGCGTGGGAAGCTGGCTTTCGCAAACTCCCAGGTCATGGGCAAAGCAGGTCAGTTCGCTTTGAAGCATCTCAGCGCGCACATTCATGCATGGCCTTTTGTTGCGAAGCTGAGTGATGCAACACTTCAGGCCCTGAGCTTCCTTCATCAACGCATCACCGAGGGCCGTCCTAGGAGGATCACAAGGTCACTGGGACACCCCTGGCTCGTGTTCACTGATGCGAGCTTTGAGCCTTGCTACACGGGCGGCCTGGGGGGTGTGCTGATATCTCCATCAGGTTCTGTGCGATGTTGGTTCTCTTTGCCTTTGGGCGAAGCGGACATTCGGCCTCTTCTACCGCTTAAAGCGGAGACGGGAATAGGCGAGCTCGAAGCTATAGCTGTAGTCCTTGCCCTTCAGCTTTGGTTTGGACAGCTTGTGTCGAGTGAATGTGTGATTTACTTGGACAACGAAGGTGCCAGATTCTCTTTGATAAAGGGCTACTCTGCAGCATGGTCAATCACCAAGATTTGTCATGCCTTCGCTGTGTTATGCGAAGAGAACACGATCTTACCCTGGTGTGCCCGTGTGCCTTCGTGCAGCAATCTCGCAGATCACCCGAGCAGATGCAATGACTCACCAATGCTGCCAAAGCATCTCGAGGCTGACGCCTCTGATGTACGAGGCAAGTTTGCTGACTTGGTTGATTCAATCATAACTCTTTCCTGACCGTCATCTCCTTTCGAGAAGGGGGGTTTGTGTGCGATGACGGAGTGCCGTCCTTGCAGGGTGTGTGCACCCTTTGTGCATGCCGAACTTTCGTGACATACCCCGCTCGGCAACAAAAGAAGGAGTGCGAGTCTGTGAGCCTGCTGCTGTCATGTTACATTCTACATGTCATGTTTTGTTCCGGTGTGCCTACCTTAACAGTTGGAAATAAATACGCCTTCTCGCTTGCGAGACAGCATTTTATTTCCCAAACTGTTTTCTGCCGCATGTGACGTGCCATGTCTCCGTACATTTCTTTGTGCTTGATTTTGCTGTGTGCAGCTCTTGATTTTTAAGTGGGGAACAACATGTTGTTCTTGTTAACTTTGCGACAGAACTATCCACTTCATGCAAAGTTTCGGCTGTGTGCAGCTGGTGAGTTTTATTTTTCGCCCGCCCGCCCGCCCGGTAATATACTTGGGGGGGTTTGTGTGCGATGACGGAGTGCCGTCCTTGCAGGGTGTGTGCACCCTTTGTGCATGCCGAACTTTCGTGACATACCCCGCTCGGCAACAAAAGAAGGAGTGCGAGTCTGTGAGCCTGCTGCTGTCATGTTACATTCTACATGTCATGTTTTGTTCCGGTGTGCCTACCTTAACAGTTGGAAATAAAGATTGGAAAATTCTCGAAAGGCAAGCGCAGCCTGCATCGAGCAACCATCATCCCCCCAATATCCCAAAAACCGTATTGAAACAATGTCGGGCGGGTGGGCGGCTGAAGATATTCAGCTCCGGTGACCCAGCCTTATCCTTCATTCCTGCCTGTGTTCCTCCTTCTTCGAGGGATCTGCAAGACCACAGCAACCGACATTGATTTCCGACCGGTAACAGACGCGTACAGCCGTCTACAGTTTTCTGCTCCTCATCAGCATGATTTGGAAGAGCGGTATGTGTGAAACAAGCAAATGTCAGCGAACCAAAACCAACTTTCTCCGGTAACGCAGCGTGCGACAAAGGGAAACACCCACAATCCCGTAGCCACAACCGCATTGCAAAAGCCATTTCAATCTCAAAGCAGCATTATTATAGAACGTTTCTTCGCTGCCTGGCCTGCTGGCAGCTCAGCTCCTGCACGTGTCTTTCTTAAGTTGAGACATGCCGTTCTGTGCTCGTGCAGTTTGGATTACAAAGGGCTGGGCCTGCCGTTTTTCGACGCGTACAGATGGTTAGGTGCCTTTGGCAATGTGACAATTCATGTGCGTGGAAGATGGGTTTTGCGCAAGGTGAACTCGAAGATTCTCAGCGCTGCCTTCAGCTTCGATTGTTCAGTCGGTACAGAAAGCTTTTGAGTTTCCGAGGTCAGTCAGTTTTCGTCACGGAGAAGTGCGGTTTGACTTCGACAAACGGCCTAGCAGATGTTTCCCAGGCATGAGCAGATAATACTTTGTTGCAGCTATCAGCATGGGGTGTTGCTCAGTAGAATATTGACGCACCGCATCGATTGGGAGCCGAGTCAAGTTGCGGCTCTGTGGCACGTGCAGAGTTGCAAAGCCGGAACTGCTCCATGGGCTTGCAATCTGCTGGAGCATCGTGCATATGCACACTGAGATTCCTTTCGGCATCCTGAGCAATGCGTCAGCTTGAGCCAATCGTTGCCGGTTGAAGGAATGGCCATGCCGCATTTTGTTTCGATGGGTTGCTTTGCCGTCAGTGGCGTTTGAAGATTCCCAAATCGGTGAAGTGTCGGACGTAGAAAGTAGAGCAATGTTGTTACAAGGTTGTAAGGTTTGCCGTGCTCGTGGATGTGGCAAGTGGTCCCACTTCCTGCGACTGCCGAATGTCTGCAAGTGAAGGAGCGTGTAGTTCAAAAGTGTAAACGTGGATTTTGAAGTCTTTCATCGTCTCGAAATTGTCTAGTATACCCAAAAGTACTTTGCTGAAACACTCGCAAAAAGCCTTCGCTTTCACAGCCTGTAAATGCTTCTTTCGGTTCCTAGGTCATGTCAGATAACCTCCTCGTTGCATTTGCATCGCCAGTTTCGCTTACTCTCTCCCATCTCACGTTGCTTGCCATCTCATTCGGTCTTGGGGGAGCGTATGCATCGGCATTTGGAGACAGTTCCAGGGGCAAGAATCGCGAAGGTCGCGTGAGCATGAATCCTGAGAATGCATCTAGACGGCGTGGTTCCTCACAAAGCGGTGATCAAAGACGGGTTGGCTGCGCGTCGGGCCGCTTGAGCCCTGTGTTACCCTGCAAGATACCGCTACCGAAGTCCTTTGCTGCAGTCGGTTCCCGTTTGCTGCTCGCACCACAGGCGGCCAACCTGGATGCTCGGATGATGCGGCAGGTTTCTGTAGAGGCCGTCGGCCTGAATTTTTTTGATCTTGTCCAACTCCTTGGGGCAATGCCTTCGCGTGTCGCAGGGCAGTTTGCCAGAGGCCACCAGCACTCTGTTGGCATCGGATGCGACTTCGCAGGCACTTTGTGCTCTGGGGATCCGGTTTTCGGTTTGGCAGGGAGTCCCGGAACTCTGGCTGAGCTTCTGCCAAACATTCCAGCATCCGCGCTTCGGCCGAGGGGCGTGTCCTCTGAGGAGGCAGCGGCACTTCCAGCAGTCTTCCTCACTGCGAAGGCAGCGCTTGCGGGCTGGGCCCGTCTCTGTTGTGGAGAGCGCCTGCTCTTGCACGCTGCTTCCGGCGGTGCCGGGCTGGCCGCATTGGCCGCAGCTCGGCGATGTGGCCAGGGAGCAGGTAGCGTGTTTGCAACGGCAGGCAGTGCCAGGAAGCAGTGCTTGCTCCGGCTACGTGGCATCTGCCATGTTAGCTCTTCCCGGGATTCGCGGGCTTGCTCAGCGGATATGAGATGGGCCATGGGGGAATTTGGGGGGGCCACGCTCGTTCTGAACTGCCTGACCCACGACGACTACGTGCCCAGAGGATTGTCCCTGACCGCGCCGGGTGGGCGCTTTCTGGAGCTAAGCAAAGTGAAGGCGCCGCGGTTCCACCAAAACAGAGAGTTCCCATTAAAAGGTCCCTGTGTTGGCTTTTGCACTGCGGCTCTCTCTCCCTCTCTCTCTCTGCGTGCGCAGGCCTGGTCCACGCAGGCGGTTTCTGCATTCCGGCCCGACTTGCTCTCGGCTGTGCTCCTCATCGACCGACGGGCAGCGGAGGTGCACCCGGAATGTAAGCATGCGCAATGCCACACTGCACCAGGCTTTTTTTGCTTTTTTTTTTTCTGGAAAGTGCTGGCAGCCGTTGACGTCTGGCACAGGAGAAAAGACTGCGTAGGCTTGGTGATGCTGCGAAATCCTGAAGTCTGTATACACGCCAGACTTTGCAAAGCAGGAAGGAGCATGCACCAGAAGCATGTCTCCCACATGTTGTTGTTTCATCTCTGTTTGTCAGTTTGTCAGGCTCCTGCCACGCTTCTTGCAGACCTTCGAGCTATCGCCTACGGCGTTTCTGCAGGCGGTGCAGCAATCCACTCGTCGTCGTGGTAGTAGGGACTGCTGCGTCGAAGTGTGCCTGCGTCGCAGGCGAGCTGAGGATGCCTCCCATCACGACGTACAGCTTTCCGGACCAGGTAACGGCCGCCTTCCAGGTCCTCAAGCAAGCCAAGCATGTCGGTACCAGGGATGCAGAGTTCTGAAGCCAGTCTAGGGCTGCGGTCTCAAGAATCGTCTGTGCTGAGGTAAGATTGTGCTGACTCTGCGCGGGCCCTCGTCTCCGTAACGGATGCGGGCTTCGAGGACCTCCGCGAGTCCCTGCAGCACGTCTCCAAGTGCATCGGAGCTTCTGGTTTGGGACATTAGGCTCTGTTGGGCCCGCTTTGGAGGCAGCCCCGCCGATCTGTGAAAGCCTGGTGGAGTCAAAGCCAGCTTCCGTCGTGGTTCATGCGACCACACGACATCTGCTCACCTTGCAGGCCTTCAGATGGGTTTCCAGGTCGGATTTGGCTTGGTTCTGGCGGCGCGACAGGTGAAAGGACGGGGAAGTTTTATGGAGATGGCCTTCGCATAGAAAAGCGCATGTTGCAAAGGGGCTGACGCATGACCTTCCCCGCATCAGTTGAGATCACGCCTCGTGGTGGGCCGTCTGCACCTCCCATGCACGCCTGCCGCACCTGTTGGGGTGCCGGCATAGGGCCGCAGACTGCCGAATCTGTCACAACCTGACCCGGCGCTTCCGACGCAGGCGCAAGAGGAAGGCTTGGAGAGAAAATCCAAAGGTTCCTGGGGAATAGACTTGGCCACCGCGATCCTGACTCAGGATCCGTGCTGGTGTTGTCCGGTGCAGTCAAGGCTGTCGGAAGAGGTTGCAAGAAGCGGTGGGTCCTTCTTTTCTTTTGTTTGAAGCTTGGCACTCAGCCTCTGCAGAAAAGGAGCTGCTGAGTCTCTAGGAGCGGAGAGGGCTCCTGAGCATAAAAAAACAGCCAAGGACCCTAACCCTGGTAGTGGCTTTTGATTCGGTAGTTAAGGCAGGGGTCTCACCAGGCTTTAAGGCACCCAGTTTACGCCAGGGCCTTAGGGCCTTAAGGGAATTAGAGCCCCCAGGCAGGAGGGAACAGGAAGGTGTCACCCCTCCACGATTCCTTGTACCGGAGGGTAGGTTGAGAGGTTGAGGCATTGAAGCGAAAGACGCTCGTGCTGGATCTCTTCCTGTACGACCTGGTCGACACAGACCACAAACCAAACTTGTGACGCTTCTTGTCCCGCCCAGGCTTTGGCCACCGGGCCGTTCATAAGGCCGCCAAGAGCCCTCTGCCCCCCCCGATGAACTGGGGGAGAGGAGATCCTTACTGCTGGCAGTAAGAAGCGATGGCAGACTTGAACGACTTTGGGCCAAAAGGGCCGCCAGGGCTTCGGCACCTACAGCTCCTTTTCGCCTCGGAGTGTCGCGGCGATGCTATTTTGGCCGGGAGCCACCTTTAGGTCTCGCTCTAGTCTAGTAGACTAGGCTTACCCAGACTCCCCACCCTCCGAGTGCCAAGTCTCCTTTATGCGGTATCTGGGGTTCCGATGGATGGTCGAGATCTTCGTCGCCTGCTTTGGAAGGCCTTACCTGTAAAGCCCTTGCCGGAAGCAGTGCCGACACATCCAAGACGGACCCTTCACGTGCGCATTGTGCCCGATGTGGCAAAGAACAGCTACAAGAAAGGTGCGTGGAAGGAGTTTGTGGTGACACCAGATCTCGACGGTCATGGGGGCCTCACTTTCGATGCTTGACGTTGCTGTTGAGAGACGTTCCCCCATGACAGCTCCTTCCCATGTGCTGCCAGACACAGGCTTCAGAAACTTGGGGCACGTTGGCTGTGCGGAAAGACAAGCTGTTCTTGTAAAGACTCCCTTAGTGCGCTGCGCAGGTCTCATGCATCATGCGGTTGCACCCACATGGGTCGGATTGCGGGGACTGCGCTCGCGTGTCGATGTAAAGGGTGGTTGTTTTGCTTGAGACTGACAGCTGACGGTGACCTGGCCCTGGCAGCCCCGGCGGCCTCGCCCGGCCCTTTTCCAGACCCATCAGTTGCAATCGAAGCTCCCAGCTCCCCGCGGAGCACTACAGTCGTTCATGAGGGGAAAAGCGGCACCTTCACCATGCCTTGCCGAGCGATGTTCGAGTTCTGGGCCTGTATGTGGCAGCCAGCGTGTGCGTGCGTCTGATGCGTGCGTGTGCGTCCTGATGCGTCTCTGCAGCGGCTTCCGGCGCTGAGCTTGGCCCAGAGCTCGAGCTCTGGCAAGGCAACGCTGGCGCTTGCTCGGCCCTAGGTTGCGAGAGCTTTCGCAGCGGCAACGGGGCCTTGGCCCTCCAGCGTCCGTCTGCGCAGGTGTGCAGCATGTGCATTCAAATTCAAAGCTTCAGCACGTGATCGGCTCTGGCGAGCCTGGCAGCGAGCCTGGCAGGAGCCAGCCTGGCGGCGAGGGGTCGCAGCCGCTGCAGCCACGGCTGCGGCCGTCGCGCACCGGCTTTTCGGTCCTGCAACGTGCTCGTGACGGACCTGGCCAGAGCTTCCAAAACTGATCCTGACGCCCCAAGCACCACGCCCAAGATGAGGGCACCTCGCCAGCAAGCGGACCTTAGTTTGAAGTTGAAGTTCTGGTGACAAACATCGCGAATCCGCAGGCAGGCGCGATGGTGAGGACTGGTGCAAAAGGGACACTGACATGCGATGCAGTGCGTTGCCACGACAGGGGCATGGCTTGAGGTACAAGAACCCTGACGGCAGGACCACTGCTGTTGGCCTAAACTTCTTCGACATCATCCAGGACGGGAGGGATCTCAACAGCAGCAGGTTGCCCCCCCCCCCGAAGTCTCCCCTGCTCTCGAGGCTCTCGGCGCCATGCCACGCAGCGTCGCTGGCAGGTGCACTTCTTTTGGATTTCGAAGCACCGAAGCCGCGAGAAAAGTGAGCGCAGAAGCCATGAAGGAGTGCCGTGCAGACCGATTCCTTGGGCAGCGACTTCGTCTGAACCTCATGCTTGCTGGGGTCAAGGGGCCTTAAAGGGGCTTAAGGGTTTTTGAGGCATGGGACGGAACTTCTTCAACACTGAGTGCTGTCTGCTGCCGTCCTCAAGGTTGAGGTAGGTGTGGTAGTCGCAGTCCGACCGCCACCCATGTCAGATGCATTGCACAGCCACAGGATAGGAGGGGAAGGGGGCCTGGACTATCTGATCGGAGCCAGCGCCCATTTGTTGGTCTGGGGTGGGCTACAGCTGGGTGCGCTCAGCCCCGTGCTGACGCTCTGTCTCTGGAGGCTTGACTGGAGGGCAGGGTTATGCTTTCTGGCCTTGGCGCTCTTCACGGTCCTCTGTCCTGCGCGCCACTCCAAGCACCTCTGCCGCTTCTACCTTAAGGCGGCGTCGACTGTGGGCGGGGCCACAGCCTGGGTTCCGGACTCGATCATGCAGCTCTTACAGGGCCATAGCTATTTGCTACTCAGACCAGTGTAGAGGGACAGCATGTTCTTCTTCCTTCTGGTTTCGGAAACTCTCCATGTCCCATGTCGATAGCGCATCGCTCAGGGTGTGCTTCCACCCACACGGCGTGCTACCTCTGGGTTTTAGTTTCAACGCGCCGCCTGGCAAGACAGATTTTGACCGTGCTTCGCTGTCCTTTGAGCTCCCAAGATCCAAGCACCAAGGGCTCTCCGTGTCAAGGCACAACAGCCGGAGATTTACCTGCCGGAGTCATTCCATTTCCCGGAGGAGCCCAGAAAGCGAGCCTGATCCCGCGATTCGTCTGAGCTCGAAGGACTGCGATGGGGTGCAAGCGCCTGTGCTTTGGCGCCTTCCTTTCTTCGCACCTATGCTGCGGATGTGGGACTGCTGCACACCAGCGACGAAGGCAGAAAGGTGTCGCAAAGTGTAGCGTGAATGCTTGCGTGTCTGATGTCCAGTCGATTCAGGAGAACATGAAGAAGCTGCTGGCAGCCGGGACAGCCTTTGGTATCATTCCTGGGGGAAGCGAGGACGTTGCCATCCACGAGCACGGAAAGGAAAATGTCTACATCAACTCTCGGTATGGTTTCATCAAGTATTCCTTGCAACATGGGTATTGCCTGGTTATTGCCTATACCTTCGGAGAGACCGACCAATACCACAGCCTCACCTGGCTGAGGCCCTTGAACTTGTGGCTGGTCACGGCTCTGTGTAGGCTTTCAGTCTGGGATCCTCTAGGTCTGGGACTGGGGGGTGTCAAAGCATTGCGTGGTCCCTGACAGACCTTTGGCTTCGTGGTTCCAGTTTTCTGGGGCAAAGCCTTCTGCCCACTGCTGCCCCGTGGTGGCGGCTTAAATACTGTCTACGGCAAAGCACTACACCTGCCAACGATCCCAGAGCCGACACTTGAAGACCTCGTGCACTGGCATGGGGTGTACGTGGAGGCACTGGTCACACTTTTCGATGAGTACAAGTGCCGGTTTGGATATGGTGATCGAGAGCTAAGATGCTTCTGACGGGCTTCAACCAGAGCCTGGCTCCCATGCCATCACATTCTCTTAGTTAGTCTTAGTTCCGGATCTGGAACAGATCCCCGCGAGTCCAGTGCCAGTTGCTTGAACGTGGCAGCGTGCGGCTCAATGCAAAGAGGTGCGATTAGCTGATTAGCAGGACAGATCCGAACATCAGAATTGGACTCGTGTCAGCGTGAGGCTGGACTGGTGATCGAGCCCTCCACTGGCTTGTGCTGTGGGGACCAGATCTTTGGCATCGCCCAGGGGAGCCTGCGGTGAGGGCCTAACTCGCTTCCGGCTCCTCACCATTCAGCGGCTGCCTGCCCGAGGCCGTACATCGAGGCGAGCAGCGGCTGCCTGGCGGCCCTGATCCCACGAGGTCAGAGGGACGCAAGCATGGCCTCGCTGCCCACCGTCGCCCTGCTCCTTGGCCCAGAGCCCGTTGCGCCTATACCTACCCTCAGTTACTCCTTCCCTGCTCCGATTCCCATCTCTCTTTTTTTTGTCCGAGGACCGTTGCGGCAGCCGTGGCGGAGCTGGGCCACGTTCTGCCCGGGGACCTCGTGGCTATTCAGGCGGCTGCAGGCGCGCGCGGGCCGCGGGCGGGCCCCGCGAGCACAGAGAGCGACTCACACGAAGAAGTCTGAGACTTTCCCGAGGTGGCACCGGCGTCCTGGCCTTGGCAGCGCTGCGCCGCCGCGGCGCCGCGGTGCTCGCGACAGCGGGGAGTGCCGCTCGACGGCAGAGAGACCGGGCAGAAAGGCAGGGCATAGCGCTGAGCGCTTTTTGCGAGGCCCGCAAGCAGTGCTTCCTGCGCATGCGTGGCGTCAGTCGGGTCACGAGCTCCCGCTCCGGCGATGCGCGGCTCGGACCGGGAAAGGCCAAAAAGCCGGGTCGGTGAGCTCATTGCGTTCGTTTTGCGTTCGTTTTGCATTCGTTTTCTCTCGTCTCTTAGGTTCCTGCGAGACGCGCTCGCTGGCCTCCCCGAGCACTGCCTCGGAGCAGACTTCCTGCTCAACTGCTTGACGCATGACGACTTCATCCCCCGTGGCGGCTCGAACTGGTCAGAGTCGGAGTGAAGGGGCGGAGACTTGTGCCTTGGTCTGAGGTTTGTCAGTGCTGGCCCCGGCGGGGCGCTTCCTGGAACTTGGGAAGCTCCGGGCAGCTCGGCTGCCGTGGCACCCACTTTCGGCTGCGCTTTGCCGTGCCGTGCTGTAAACTGAGCCGAGGTTTGGTCGTCGCCGTCGGTGCAGCGTTTCCGGAGCGACGTGGTCCATGCCACCATGTGCCCCAGACTGACTCAGTGTGTGGGACATGCCACGGAGTACGCACGGAGCACGTGTCCACCGTGGCGCAGGCTTCTGGACACGCGCGTCGCTTTGGCGGCCGTGAGCCTGGCGAGGGAGCTGAGGGCCATTGCCGCAGCCGTCGAGGCGTCACTGAGTAGAGCACATGGCAGCGGCACTCCAGCAATCCTGGTGCAGGCAGGAGAGCTGCAGCTTCCACCGACCTCCCTTTTTGAGTTTCCGGGGCAAGCCCTCGAAGCCCCTGCCTTAATGGCGCGATGACGGAGGGAAATTCAGGAAGCCGTTTGAAGTCTTGAAGCCTTGAGTCCCGGAGGCTTTTCGGCTTTTGCAGAGTTCGAGGCAGATTGGTAAGGCAGGGGGACCAGGAGAGGGACCAACATGACATCACTCGCTCAGTCCCGTCTGAAGGTCGTCTTGGTCTGTGACCACCAGTTGCCCGGAGCAAAGGCGGAGGACAGACGACGGCTCTGTCGTAACTAAACGGCCATGCGTCGCAAGTTTCCTTCAGACTGTGCTGCAAGGACTAGATTAGACCATTGACCAACTGGGCCCAGCAGTTGTCTTCCAAAGCGACGCCTCTTGCAGATGGCCATGGCTCCAGCACAGACAGAATGAGCACATCGCGAAGGATGGTGCCCGACACAACGAAGCAGCGCCAAGGAATGCCACACCGGCTGGGAAAGCGCCCAACCGCCGAGATGAGCTCCGCTATCAGGCTTCCTAGTAAGCCTTGCAAGCTTTGCAAGCTACAGCTGCGCTTTGATTCTCGCGACGCACCTTCTGCACGGGTCATTTTCCACTAAGACAGCTCGCTCCTAACCTAGCACTCATGGCACATAACATGGCGCCAAGGCACTGAGTGTCCGGTCCTAGGGTGCCTTCGTCGGGCCCAGCTGCTTGTGATTCGGCCCAAGACATTGAATCACAGGATCCTGCACATAGAGTGTGCAACAGAGTCCCGCTTCCCTGTCTGGGAGCTGCGTCGGTGAACTCTCCCATTGTGAGCCGGCTGCGCAGCCGAAGCGCCTGCAGCCATGGTCATGTTCGGCGATTCAAGCGCAAGAGCAGACGACACCAAGCCGGGTCGGAGTCTTGACTTTGGAAAACTTGGCAACTGCGCTGCTGGCCACGGCAGAAGGCATGGCATGTGAGGTGTGCGGAAGATTCACCGAGTTGGAACACAAAGTCCAGCACAGCCAATCCCTTGAGCACCCAAGATCGAACTGCCGTGCCTCGTAGTCACACTCGCGCGGTCGGCTACAACCACTTCCAGAAGAGGGTTCCGTTCTTGGCCCCTGCCCTCGTGACAGTCTGCTACGACGCAGTTCAGCTCTACTTGGCAGCCTCCTTTATAACAATGGCCTTGGTTTTTGCCCCAAGACAAACGCAGCCGGCAGAGCCTGTCGCAGAGCCAGCGCCGCCTGGTAAGTGCGGGCATTCCATGCGTTCCATTCCTTCCACGCTCTCCTTGTGTTCCGCTACGTAGCGGAGCCCGGGCGTGCAATTTTGAGGCATGCTTTTTAGGGCATGATGTTTTTCTGAATTTGCATGCCGCGGCCTGCTTGCCCGGATAGCTCGGAGGTGTTGCTGTGGACTACGCCTGTTGTGGTTGGGCCTGCGCCCGCGAGGAAAGCCTTCCGTGCACTGTTGCTTGCGACTCGCTGAGAGGCCTCGCGGGCTGTTGTTCTCCGCTCTTCCCATCTTGACGCTTTGAGTGCTCGCAAGCGACCTGCCGCCAGGAACTGTGTGCATCACATGTAGGCCATGTAGGTGGCTCGGATGTGCAGCCCAGGATGGAATGTGGGTCTGCAAGAAGCTTGAAGGCAGAGTCGCTGGTGAAGCTTGACCTGTGAGGTGATACATCGATTCCTAAGCTCAGCTCGGCTGCAGATTCGAAGAGTCGATGCGGCTGCACCAGGGTGCCTCACAGCTATCGCGACAAGACATCTGAGAAGTCCCGCCCGGGTTCTTCGCAGGTCTATCGCGAGGAGATCTCCCGAGGCATCAAGGCAGATCTAATCGGCAGATATTCAACTAAACGGGCCATCGTCAGCTCAGGATGCCCGCATCTTGCATGTTGCAACTCCCGTGTAAACATGGCGAGAGAGTGTAGTGCCAAGGCCGCAAGAAACCGCAGGTGAAACCCCGGCTTTTCGAGAGGATCTGCCGTGTTGCTGGCTTTGCGTATGCTGAGTCGATGCATCGGCGCAAAGATGCATCCGAGATCGGCGCTGTCATGTTTCGCGCTGTGCAGAACTCTGCACAGCGAAGCGGAACACATGTGTGCTCCGACGGCGACGATGCTTCGAGGCTGGTCCAGGTCAGGACCTGTGCCCCAAACTCCTCGCATCCTTTGAGCAGCAGGGCCAAGCCCGAAGTTTCCAGATCAGGTGCAGGCCGCAGCGACAGCTGGGACTCTATGGTTTCTCTCTTGCCCGTGCCCTCTGTGCGTGCTGTCAACTTTCTGAACATGGGCAGCACAATGCTTGAGCTGTGGAAGTGGGCAATGTGGAAAACTCACAGAGCTCACTGTGGCCAGATTCTCGGATGTGTGGCTGCTACGGTAAGGCTGGGCAGATGGCGGCGACACAGCTGCCAGCTGGCACATGGCTGAGTCTTGGTCTGAGTGCTGTTGGGCTTGGCACCTGCCCTGGCGCAGCCTCGAAGCACCGGGCCGCCGTCGAGTCACATGCATCTTCATCAATCGGGTTCGTTTGCTGGAAAGCCTGAGGCGGCCTGACATCGTCGATGTCGCGCTTGTTGAGCGAGGGGTTGGATAGCCACCTGTAAGAAAAAAGATTCCAGAGCTTGGAAACCGTCACGACCTCCGTCGCACTTGCCCCCTCTTTGTAGCAAAATATAACCTGCTTCCCGAAGACATTTATTTTGCAAAACTCCCCCGAGCTCTAAGCTCGGACAGGGTGCGTAAGGGTCCGTCGCTCTCGAAATAAGAGACACTCGGCTCAGCGGCTAAACCTTCTGGCACTCCTGCCGGCCACTTGGTCACGCTGGCTGCAACTGAGCCTTTAGAGTACGCCGAGGCGATTAAGCCAGAGGACCGGGCCGGCACCGCAGGCACCGCAGGCACCGCAGGCACCGCAGGCACCGGAGACACTGCAGGCACCGCAGGCACCGCATGAAGCTGCCTTGTCAGTTGAGGAACTTCAGGCGTTTGGGGGGGCCTGGAAGTCGAAGGGGCACCTGACCCTGGCCCCTGCGTTGCACCTGGTAGTGTGTGGCACTTTCGGTGCTCAGCTCCCTTGCTGAGCACCTTTGCCACTGCCCTTCTAGCCAGCTGAAGCACTGCATCTGCCATCATGTTTCCACAAGGCATGCTCTTGCTCAAGCCACATGAAAAACACTTTCCGGCCTGAGGCTTTGCGAAAGTTCTTTTCAGAGATGCGCGGCGTGCTTGCAGTCGCCAGCAAAACTGGCAGGGCCATGGCTGCAGCCTGCAACAGAGTTCTGCCTCTGCGCCCTCACTGCGAGTCACTAAAGATCATCGAGCTTGCGCAGAGTTTGTGGAGTGTGCTTTGAGCTGCAGGCTTGATGCTCTTCGTGCATGTCAAGCATGCCGGCCGCAAGCATGTCAGTCACAGTCACAAGACCATGACCAACACATAGAAACTTGCCACAGCCCTCTGGTTCTAGATTCTAGAAAAGTAAAAACAAATATTTCCTCATTTTGCGCCTTGCTTTCTCCCAGCAGCCCCTTGACCGGTATTGAGGCGTAGATTTTGTCTAGACTTGCCAGTAGCAAAATGTACCCCTTCCACTTCAGCTGCCCGGTTCTAGAGTGGCACCTTTTGATTTGAATTCCCCTTGCATTCGCCCCGTTCGCCAGCATACAAGTCCGAAAGTAAGAGTTTCTGCAGTTTCCTTTGAGAAGTTTGTGTTGCCGGAACCTCAAAAGCTTCGCTGGCTAGATGGGGTCAGAAGTGCAAGCTGCTAAGCTCCAGCGCGCTGACCTGAACCTTGACAGCGCGAGGGCGTAATGGAGCCGGGCTGAGCCCACGCCAAGAGCTGAGGCAGGGAAGAGACGGATTTGCCTTGGCCTCGGCCTGGAGGCCCCAGGGACTTCAGTACGGGAGCGGCACAAAACGAGCAGAGTGACTAGGACGACTAGGACGAGGACCCCGGTTCCCATTCCCAGGTTTGTGAGTCCCTTAGCCTGGCCAGGTCCCCTGGTTGAAGGACCTTCCCACGATTTGCCCGAGCACCGGAGAGTCGAAGTTGTCCTTGGCCACTCCGAGCACTCTGAGCCCCCGCCACTGCCCGAAAGCTTTTTCCTTTTCCGAGGCCGCTGACGGGCTCCATGGGCTCCGTGGGCACCTCTGCACCTTCACGAGGTTGAGACTTTGGGCGCAGCACACCGTGCCGCTGCACCGTGAGCAGAGTCACCCGGCACTGCTCAAGAGCAAGATCCCCCACAAGCCGCCCGCCTATTCCGCTCCTGCTCCTGCGGCTCCTGCTGCTCGGTCTCGGCGCCCTCTGCAGGTGATCCTGTTGCCACGATCGAAAGATGCAGAAAAGGAGCGGATCGACGCACTGCCTTTGGAGGCAGGCACCACTCGTGTCGAGTAAGCCGGTAAGCCCGGTCCTGGGTTAGCCGGTGCCGGTTAGATTCTTTGGCCGCTTAGCCGTGCAAGCTAGCGGCCCTCACTTCTGCCCCGGTGGGAATGTCCAGGCGACCTTGCGAGAGGGTGAAAGTGACTTCACGCTGGCCCCTTTCACTGGATTTGTGGCTGAGCTCAGGCTCCGGGAGGCTGCAGGGGCGGGGCTGCTGGTTGCTGCCCTGCATGGCCTGGTGCAGGGCGGAGGTGTCGCCATGTCCCAGGTGGCGGATGTCCGCTTCGCAGACGTCGAAACCACTTATGTGCTCGGCAACTTGTCAAAAGGAGCGGTGCCATGCATCCTCCTTTCGAAACATTTGGCTCTGCTGGCTTCTTCCCTGGCTGATGCCATGGCCTTCTACTTGGAAGACTCCGTCTTGGATGCGTGCAGTGCCTTGGCCCGTGGCCTAATTCAAGCTTTGTTCTCTTCGCCCTCTAGCACGCGTTCCGCAGCAGTTTCCCTGTCGGCCACAACCCTCCAATCCTTTCGCTCCGTCCGAGTGCCAGCCGCGGACGCCGCACGCTTCGCCGACGAAGCACGCGGCCTCCAGCTGTCTCTCACTTGTGGCGAGGCTTTCCGCCAAATGCCAAAGCCAGCGTCACAGCTGCAACAGCCAGAACAAAAGCCGCCTGCAGCCCGCCGGCATCGAGCACGGCCTCAACGCTGCCCGGGGCCTCGCAGGGAAGCTTCAGCCGCTTCGTTGAAACCGAGGGTGAGGCTGTTGCTCCCGGCACTGCAGCCTTCTCTGCACTTGGCAGCACCATGGCTGTTGCAACCCCAAAAACGAAAACGGCCAATGCAGCCGTGTGAAGGCGACGAAGGCGAAGCGTCCAACAAGGTTCTTCAGGTCGTGGGTCCATTTTGGGTGAATCCAACACGGGCCTGGCGGGCATGGCCAGTGCGGTGGTTCGTCTGACGGCACGGAGCATGCGGCTCGCAGAACATTTTTCTGGAGCCCTATGAAGACGATGCTCCATCACTGCCGGCCTTAGAGGCTTGGTAGGGTCTTGCAGACTGATGCCCTGATCCTTCACGATAGCACCTTGATTGTTGCCTGCTGTCCTTGCTTCGCAACGGCAGCGGTTTCCAGTGCATACAAGCTTCGGTACCAGCAGGCAACTAGGACTAGGATTCGGTGTGAGCTTGGGCTTAGGCGGCCTTAGGGTGTCGGGTTTAGGGTGTAGGGGTAGGGCCCAGCACGAGGCCGGCCCAAGATGTTTGCCATGGACGAAAAGCTCGGTGTTGTGCCTGGCACTCTCTGCTTCTCGGAGCGACCCTGTCCTCTGCAGAGGGCAGCAATGGCCAGGCCGGACGCCTGCGGACGTTTCTGCAAGCCTTTGAAGGGCTTGAAGGTATCGCACTCCATCCCAAGGGTTCCTGCCACCCAAGTTAGGCTCGAGCACTAAGAGCACTAGCCGTTCGATCCGCTCCCTGTGTCTCCTGGGCATGAGATCTCCTCTTTCTGGGGCTGGTGTTCCTCTCAGCAGGCTTGCTGATGCTCTTCACACACGAAGAATTGAGGAAACGACGGAGGTGCACCGAAGCTCGGCCGGTGCGAGACGCGAGCGAGCACGAAAAACGCAGCTGCTGACTCCTGAGGTGTTTGCAGCACTTCGACGATCTGGCCGAGATCACCCAGGAGCAGCAGTGCGCAAAGTATCCTTCATTCCAGCGAAGCTCGGGGCTTCCAGGGCTTGATAGAGTGTTAGAGGAGTCCTCTTTGCGAACCTTGGCCGGCTCTGCTCCATCCTGTGGACAGTTTCTCCTGTTGCAGGGAGGAGGTCCGCATTTCTGCCCCGGAGGCAACCCGGGTGCAAGTTCGCGAGGAGAGTCCCTCTTCCAGGCTGCGCCTTTCGCCTTGTTCCTGGCCGTCCTCCGTTTAAGAGAGATGGACTTCCTTTTTGTGGCCTTGCAGGGTCTGGTGCTCGGTGGTGGCCTGGCCATGGCTTTGCTTTGCGACCTGCGCGTCTTGGACCACCAAAGCTCCCTTTCGCTGGGGAATCTCTCGCGTGGGATGGTTCCCTGCATGCTGCTGTCCTTCCTGTCCTGCTCTGTTCTGAGCCTGTCCAGCGCCATGGAGCTTTACCTCACCGACGACGCCTGCACTCCGGCACACTGGGCGGCCCATGTAGGAGACGCCGTCATGCCTTCGATGCAGCAAGCCCGGGCGGAAGCCTGGGCGGAAGCGCGAGCTTAGAGTCGCAGCTCTTAAGCCACAGCTAGCGCTGCGGAGGCCCCTTCGAGGACTCGCAGCGTCGGCGCGCTTCGTGGAGGAGGCCCTGGCCCTGCAGCTGAGCCTTCGCTGCGAGCCCCTTACCGGGCCCTTGCCTGTCCTGCCGGCCCCAGTAATCCCTGCAACCTTTCCGAAGGAGCAGGAGAAGGAGGAGAAGGAGAAGAAAGAGCGAGAGCCGACTCCGGCTCCCAGGTTCCCGGCCCAAGGCGGAGGCCTGGGCCGTCTGCGCTGAAGGCCCCGGGCATGAAGGAGATCGCACCGCTCTGGGCACTTCGCCTGTGACGGAACGGGGCTCCGTCCAGGCCCGGCCAAAGGCAAAGGCTCAGTCACAGGTGTTTTCGAGGGAACTCTGGCAGCCGTGGCTTTGGGTTCTGCCAACTTTGCGTCCGCTGCTCCGCCTTTTGGGCTTATGGCACCGTGGGAAGCTGTCTGCAAGACGCTTTCGCTTTCGCTGCAGCTGCACAGCCAAGCCACAGTAGGCTGCGCAGACCCAGACCGGCCTCGCTTTGAACCGAGAGATCTCATGTCCATCATGTCGAAGCTCTGAGCTCTGAGCTCAGGTGCCGGTTGTGTTCTGTTCGTGCTGCTCGTGCGAGCCGGGTGGGCTTCTCGAATGTCGCTGGCTTGGGACAAGGCAGATCGGGGTGTCGCAGTTTAGCGGAGGTCGTGTGCCTGGAAGCGAGGGTGCTGCAGAGGGCACATTCTGCACGGTGTGCATACGGTTGCCGGGTGGACTTGAAGGTGCGAGAGCCGCAAGAGCTGCAAGAGCTGCAAGTGCCTTTCACCGCACTCTTGTCTTGACCGCCAGTCAGTCTGGACAGAGCAGCTTTTGGGCTTTTTTGCCTCTTCTCCCTCTGCCCACCTTTTGCTCGGCCACCGGCCATAGATGCAGTGCATATGCCTCGAGTGGGCAGCAGGTAGGCTCGAAGTTCCTTTGGCAAAGCGCTGGCTGGTGGATATGCGAGTCCCGCAACGCTTTGCGACGGGAGTTCGTGAAGGGAAGGTGCACGTGAAATGCGCGACATCTTGGTGCTTCCTTGACCCCAGCCATCAGAAAAATCAGCCCGTGGGATTGTCTTAGTTCAGATGGCGACTACGGCAGTTTGCATTCAGATGCCCTACTCTTCTCAGGACCTTTTCAATCCCTTTGATTTTTGCTAGCCTTTGAACGCTGTTGAGGGCGGCAATCTCTCTGACGGTCTGCAAAGTGCTACATTTGAGTTGAAAAGTGAAAGAAGTCCTCAGGTTTGCTTGCGGACGGCTGTCCCATGAAACTCAGTGTTTGGTCATGTAGTAACCTGTCGCCGCTTACCGCAAAGCTCAAAATTCCGATGTTTGCCGGTGTATCCAAGACTGTAAAAGGGGCCGCCCGGTAGGCTCCCGGATGGCTGGCCTGCGCCCCCTGCCACTATTCTGAGAAGTCTTCGCTACCTCTAAATGCTCTCTACCCAAAGCTGTGCAAAGCCACCTTTGTTGTTTCGAGAGCCTTGTCAGGCAAGCCGACACTCCGCATGGCACGACTGCATTGCGCTGCAGTGCCTTTACGTTGTGCCGACTTGACTTCGGACTGTCACCTGTAGCTTTGGAGCCACGCTAAGGCGAGGAGCCGCCGAGGGGAGATGCATGCGGTAGGCCCGGTAGGCCGGTAGGCATGCTGAAGAAGGATGTGAAGAAAGGTCGGGGCACCGTGCACATTCCCACACTTGTGGCGTGTGCTCCACACGCGCGATGCATCAGGCATGCAAGCCGCGTGGGCAGGACCTGCAGACGTGATAGAGCAGCGCAGTGGAGCGTGAGCAAAATCGTAAGACTTCCCACGCAATGCTGGGGGTGCAATGTCTGGGAATGGCTCAGCTTGGGTTCGGTGTGCCTGGTCGATATCTGTGAGAAGCTCCAGAAGGACGTTTCTGTTTTCACGCGGGGAAGGCTGCCCGAAGTTTGTTGGTGCATTGCCCTGCAAAATACGATATGCCCAGTGCCTCCACTGAACTGGTGGCAGCCGGAGAGAGTGCAAACGGCCTTACCAGTCCTTTCAAGTTGGAAGCCGCCGAAGCCGCAGGGCAGTGAAGCGCGTAGCCTGCCTTCCGCTCTGTGCTTGGTTGGAGGTGGGCACATTGGAGTGAAGAAAGTGGCAGCTCATTAAATGCTTGCTGCTGGAGATGTCCAACTGCTCCTGCAGCTGCTAGGTTTCGCAGAGCAGCTTTGAAAAGCTTCGCATGAAGCTTCTCGTCGACACATGGAGCCATGTCTGAGCGGGGCAGCGAGCCGGGCTTTGAATTTTTCCTTTTTTCATGCTAACGGCTTCCTGGGGCCGGCGATCCCTAAGACCGGCTACGCCAAGCAGCAGAGCCCGAGCAGTTTTGGCCTCACTCAGAGACTGACGCCGAAGATTCACGGAAGAAGAGGTGCGGGCTGGAAGTGGGAGCGAGGATTCAAGGTGTAACAGCATGCTCCTAGCACGGTGCGCGGGTTGTTCATGCAGCCTGGCACCGCGCTTGCCGACATCCGTGCCCATGTCCATAGCCCCTGCGAGCCGTACGGCTACTTGCTCTGTGGCACCTGTGTCGACGGTACTAGCACCAGCACTGGTGGCGTTTAGTGGTGGCCTGAATCTGGGCGCCGACACTTGGGCAGCTTCGCCCCCAGTGGCCTCCGCACTCGAGAGTAGGTCGTGGGTCGTCTCGTGAGCTGAGGCCGTGGCCAGCACTTGGAGTGGCCAGGTTTTTGGGATTGAGCTGGTGAGCCAGGCAGAGGGCTCCGTCCTTTCTGCGCCTGAAGTAGGTCCCTGCAAGTCCCTTTGATGTCGGCAGGTGCACAGGGCAAGTTTCACGTCTCTGGGGCAACTTGCGCTGGCGGCCCCACCTTGTGCAGTGGACGGTGGCTCAGATTCTCAGCCGCGAAGCGACACCCGCAGCTACAGTACTTCGTTGCGAGCCGTCGGGAGTGGAGTGGAGTGGGGAGTAGGTTGGAGAGGAGCGGAGTGGAGTAACGTGGAGCGGCTTCATGCATTAGTACAATGTCGTCGGTTTTCTGGGCATCCAGCTGTCATGTGATACAGTGCCGCTGACATGTCTCTTGCCCCCTTTCTCCATGTGTTAAAGCAAGTTTCATATACGCCATGTATTGAGTAAGACACCAAGGGCAGCTCCGCAGGTTTGCAGTGTCAGATTCAATAGACTGAATCTATGCTTTTCGTCGAATTCTTGCGGCTGTATAAATGCCTTTGCTGTCAGATTCGTCCCACGCTTGTTTATCCCTTTCGCATCTGTGTCTGCAACTGTACTCGACAGGGGACGCACAGTGCAAGACGGCATGCAAGGGTCCCTGCGTGTCCGCTCGCGGGATGGGCAAATTGTAGGCCTTCGCGGTGGGCGAAGCTCGGACTCCAAAGTCTCGTCAGTGAGGTCGTGGGCTGGAGCTTGGGAGCTCGAGCAGCCATGGACTCAGAGAAATGCCGAGTTTGGGCAGTCGGGCCCGAGTATCGCCTCGGAGGCCACGTCCTTGGGAGCCTTGAGGGAGCGCCTGGGCCTGGAAGTGAAAGCCTTGATCGCTTTGGATGTCCGGTGCTCAGAGCACTAGGATCCGGGCTCAGCCCTGCCGCCCTGCCTTCACCGAGGATCGGCGGAAGCTGCCTTTTGCTGGGCCGATTGCTCCGATCACGATAGGCGTGCAACCTGCAGCATGCGCCGATGCGTTAGGACAAGATCGCAAGCGTTGCTCCTCAAGATGCTACAGATTTGCCGGCATTCAGCAGCCTACCTCCTACCGCACACATTGATGTCTCTCACCTATCCCCACTTGGCCCGGTGGTTCTAACGAATGCTTGTCGCCCCTCAGCTCGTGGGCTGTAGGAGGCACAATGACATAGCCTTCCACAAGGGTCATGCAGACAGATGTTTCGTGTCTTAGTTGGGCGCTGGATGTCGAGATGTGTTGCTGGACTGAGCTTTCAATGCCACCATGCAGGGCCGCTTCTAGAAATGTGCGACAGTATTGAGTTGGCGGTAGTCAGCTTGAGGGCACGGGGTGGTTTGCTTTTTGGGGAGGTTCTTAGTGTGGCCACGTTCATATTCAACTCTAAAGTGTTGCGCAGGCGATGCAGAAAAGCTTGTGTTGGAAGGGCTTCCGTTAGCGCAGCAGATGTTTCAGTCGAAGCATGCAGCACCGCATCATAGTTGCCTGATTGAAGCAAGCTTCGGTGCATCCAGCTTTGCAGCATGTTCCTTGTAAGCTGAATCGGGTCTGGGGTGGAGGGATTGGTAATTCTCCTTGAGTCTCCGCGTCCGCCAACCCCGTCTCGTGCCAGGCGGGCCCATGGCGTGCACGGTGGCGACGGTGAACATGCTCTCAGCTGCCGAAGCTGCCACTGCCTCGGGCTGGTGTGAGCCGCGCAAAGTGTCTCATTCAGACAGAATGGCAGGCCCCTGGTTTTCGTGGGTCTGCGCTCTGCCTCATCCCCAACTGCATCATGAGATTCCCAAGAGCTGTTCACTGAACGAAGAGCGAGGTTAGACCTGACGTGCCGCCTGCCATCCACCCAGATGCCGGAGATCTGCTGGAGATCTGCCAGATTGCAAAGAACGGCAGAGGTCTCCCTTGAAAATCGATCGCGTGGATTGGACTCTCTCCTTTCAGGACAGCGTCTCTCCAGAGGGGCCGAGAGACAGAGAGGGGTGTTTTGCGGTTTGCGGCCAGGACGACCGAAGCCTCGGGCCCCGTCGGGCTCTCTACTGCCGCGTCTGCCGGAGATCCCTGGAAGAAGTGGGCCATTTTGATGTAGGCGGAGTCTGCGGAGTGCGAGGGGGAGAGTGTGCAGAGATGAGCGAAGTGTCTCTCCTCGCTCTCTTCGGGTGTAGGCGTGGCATGTGCTTGGGACGTGACGCAGCTACTCCGACGCCTGAGCGAGGGCTTTGAACCACAGTGCTTTGAGCCTCAGGCAGAAAATGTGCAACAAGAGTCATCCTGAGTCATACCTGCCTATACCTCTTTGCGACGGACGCAAGCCCGACATGTTGCAAACTTCATGCTGCAGTGTGCGATGGCTCAGGGGAGGGTTGGAAGTGTGGTTTCGAAACTTACTCGTACAGTCCGCGAAGAATCACGCGCAAACATGCCGCAAAGTCCTGTGGAGTCCTGTTCGCTCACGCCTTTTCAGCTTGAAGCGTTTCGAGAATCTCAGCGGAAGGTAGAGCCATCTGTACAGTATAGCCAGAAAGCTTCGAAGTCTGTAGACCTGGAGAGCGGCCTTCAAACATGACTGTCATGGACGTGGGACGTGCCGCCACCTATGGGGCGATCAATAGCTCCCCCACGATCTCAACATTGACGCTTCTCTCCGGAAAGCATGAGAGCCTCGGTATGCACCCTGTCACCCTCAACCTCAAGGATAGCGATCTGTAGTGACCGTAGTGTGTCCACTGCCCGACCCGAGGACACTCCAGGCGGAGCTGCAGAAGACAGTAGACGCCTTGGTGGAGATGAACCCGGTGCTGTCTGGACGCGTTTGGCAGAAGGACGGCCGCGTACTGCTGGAGCCGAAGGCGCACAAGGAGTTCCTCCACGTATACCCGATGCCTTCCTCGGAAGCCGTCCCTGTGGAGGGCTTAGACCTGAAGGCCAAGATCCGCCTGCTCCAGTCGTTGGAGGGTTCCCTCTGTTCCCCCATGGATGGGCGCTTCACACTGGGGCATGGAAGCCAGGTCTTCTTGGTCGAGTTGATGGCCGGCAAGGATATGTGTGTAGTGGCCGTGCACCTGTCGCATATCGTCGGTGACATCAAGACCCTCTACGAGTTGGTAGGACAGATGAACGCCCTGATGCGTGGCGAGACGCCTTTGCCACTTGTTTGGGACAGCGACTGGAGGCTCAGCTTCGACCTCTTCCCAGACTCGCTTTCGGAGAAAGACCGAAAGAACCTGCGCTGGGGCATCTTGGGCTGGCTTTGCCAGAAGCTCTGTGGTCCCAGGCGCAACTGCAGCGTCTCCGTCCTCTCGAAAGCGCAGCTCCTGGAGAAGAAGCGCGAGCTCCAGGCAGGAGCCGAGAAGCTCTCCAGCAACGACGTGCTCTGCGCGGCGCTCTCGCGGGCCATCCGAGGCGGCCAACAAAAAGGGGGGGGGGGTCGGCATTTTACATGTGATTACGCCAGCACGTCCTTCGCAGAGGCTCCGAGATCATGAACCTAGCCGTGAACCTGCGAAAGCAAGCCGAGCAGCACCAGATTGCCGGCAATTTCTGGCAGACGGTGGCCCTGGACCACGATGCTGCCAAGGACCCCAACATAATCCGGAAACACTTACCCAAGTTGCAGTTCTTCAAGACTGATGAGATGCCCTTCTGGTGGCTTCCCTAGAGTGCAAGGAGAGTCTTGTCACTGCAAGCGGAAGTTTCCGCGCTTGTTCAAAGGCCCAGTTGGCCCGTTGACCGAGGCCTTATGCCTTGGGCCGTTACAGCTTTGTCACGAATTGGACGGCTTGCACGTGCCAGCTCTCCATCCCCGGATTCACCGTGCACTGTCACCTCCCCCACTCCAACTTCCTCAAGGCACACTGTGCAGCTTGCAAGGCTTGGGGCCGGGGCCACTTCCCTGCGCAGGGCACACCGACAAACGTAGCAGTTGCATCTTGGCCGCCTCAAAGGTTTGGGTTTCGGCCTGGACAGGTCTCCCTGCCCTAGGGCAAAAGGGAAGGAGAGAGGGAGAGAGAGGGGACTGCGCTCTCCAAGCCCCTGAGACTGAGAGTTGCAAAGAAGGAAGGCCGGTATATCGAGCCGCAGGTTCTGTAACACCAGATCCAGTCGGAAAGGAGCTGCGTGACTTTCCAAGCGAACATCAGAATTCACGTTCGGAAAAGCCGACGACGCACTCAGATCTTCAATGCCGACGCTGAGACTTTGGGCCTTAGCCACAACGCCACTCGGATGTTCTGGGGCAGAAGAAGATGCCATGAAACTTAGCTCAGCGCAGCGACCAGAGGTGCCGCCGTCGAACTTGGACACGACGGGCCTCTTGGGCAGGGCACTGAGAACTCGTCATCCGCTTTTTTCTGCCGCCTCACTGGAGCTCCTCCCAGGTATGCTGATGCTCTGATCCTTCGTGCCGTCGCTTTCCGAAAAGAAACAGAGGACTGGAACATGCCCGAAAGCTGTGGAGCTCACCGAACTGAATAGAACCAGGTTGCAACGAGCTAGCGACCCAGAACGAGCAGCAACATGTTGGTGTCTGCAACATGGACCGGTTCGCACACGAGAAACCCAAGACAGGGCCCGGACATGTTGGCAGGCGATGCAGCGAGTTGACTGTAGCGGCTCGAGCCAGCCGAGTAGCGTTTGCCTGCTCCTCTGGGTCCCCGTTTGCAGGTGGGAAGATTTCTTTTTTGTGACTACGCGAACTGGATCCGATCAAGTCTATAGGTACCCAAACGATGCATGCATCGCGGTGGCTGGTGACAACGGCAGCCTATGGCTCGGCGTGGAGCGCCCTGACCGCGCTGCCGGCCCGACACTCAGACAAACAGTGGCTGACGGCGCAGCGACAGCGACGCTCAGCAACGGGGCCTTGGGCATTGCGCGCTTTCTTGGAGAGGCCTCGCGGCCGGATAGCTCCTGGCCATGTGGAAAAACCGTGAAATGCCACCAAGAGGCGAGGACAGCACAGCGGAACGGCAGCGGGATGTTCTCATTCGCTGGAGTTGAGGTGTCAAAGCCAGGGTTTGAACGGCTTGATCGCCTCTGGCGCACGATCGAAGAGCGAAAGGCGGAGGGAGACTGGGAGGGGGGGTCGGAAGCCCCTCGGAGGAACCTCGTCTCTCCCGTCTCAGGTGCAGGCCCAGAATGCCGGTCGCTCCTGGACCGGCGGTTTCGAGCGGATGCACACATGCGCCGTGTTCTGACGCCCTTCTGTGCCCTCAAAAGGACGGCGCGCCTCCTCGCCAAAGGCCCCGACAAGTGCGCACAGAAGGCGCCCCCTTTGTATCCCCCCGCAGAGTCTGCTTCTCTGTAACTACCCTCCGTCACCGGAGAGGTTGGTGAGGAGGCCACGGAGGTCTGCATCGAGGCGCGCCGCCTCGCGCAGCGAGCCTCTGCTTTTTTGACGGCCCTTTCAAAGGCCTAGGGCCGAAGGGCCTTATTGGGGCCTTATGCAGTCCTGGAAGGCCGCCGCCCGACGACCCGGAGGTGTGGTGAAGGAGTCAGCCGACCTGGCCAGACGCCCAGTGACAAAGGCAAAGCCGTAATTAGTACCGCAGGGGTTTTGGGAAGCCAGGATATGCCAGGATTCATGGGCTTTGAACCCACACCTGCCAGCAGCAGTCAAGTGCAGATATGCCTTAAAGAATGACACTTAGGAGCCATGTAGCCTTGAAACTAATATTGCGTCGCATTGTTCTCTCTACATGGCTCCTGAATCATTCTCAGAGGCATATCTGCATTTAACTTTGCTGGCAGATGGGTTCAGAGCCCACTTTTTTTCCTGCCATATATTCCTGGCTGTCTCGACTGTTGCTGGCATGCAGAGCCCATTTTGCAGACAAAGTTGGCGGCCAGAACGAAATCAGCCCTCCCCCCACCTCCCACAGGTAAGGGGTGATCGGTTTTTTAATTTGTTATCTGTGTTTTTTTTGTGCGTTATGTGAATCTTTTGTTCGTTGTTTTGGTGCCATGTCTCACGGAATGGCTTCCTTTTTTCAGGTTTCCGCGTTATCTCTGTGGTATTTCTTGCGTTATCTGAGTCTTTTTTTGCATTATCTGTGCCGTCCTTGATTTTAGGTGTCCTTTATACAACATTACAAGTGTAGACGTTGGCCTGGAGCCGGAATCGCCAAATGAGGGGCGGCCGGCATCGCCCAATCGAGGAATCGCCAAATCAGGGGACGTGTTTAAGATATATGATGAACAGGAGTCGCCAACGGAGGGGCTGTGTGTTTAAAACATATGATGAACCGGGGCGTGTGTAAGATATGTGGTGAATCGGAGTCGCCAAATAAGGGGCTGCGGGAGCGTTTTTTCGATAAGTGTTCAAGATGTATGGTGAGCCGGAATTGCCAAATCAGGGGCGTGTTTTAGGTATAGGATGAGCGGGAGTCGCCAACTGAGGCAGCGTTTTTCACATAGACTATGATGAACCGGAATCGCCAGATAAGGGTGTGTGTTTCGGATATATGATGAACCGGAAATCCCAAGCGTGTTTGATTTAAGATGTATGATGAACCGGAATCGCCCAAGTGGGGGAGTCGCAAAGATAAGATATGATGAACCGGATTCGCCAAATGAGTGGGCGTGTTGAAGATATATGATAAACCGGAATCGCCCAAGGGGGGGCGTGTGTTTAAGATACATGATGAACCGGAGTCGTCCAATTGGGGGGGGGGGAGGCGGGGTGCTTAAGATATTGCAATCGCCAAAGAGGGGACGTGTTTAAGATTTAGGATGAACCGGAATCGCCAAATGAAGAGGCGTGTTTAATATGATGAACCGGAATCTCCAACGGGTTTAAGACATATGACGAATCGGAATCTCCAAATGAGGGGATGAGCCGGAATCGAACTATTCTATTGCTTTTAGGTTACTATTCAATTCCAAACCCAGAGATAAATGATGCATTTAACCAAGAGAAACAGACGCAGATAAGCCAGTGAGCAACCAAAACCGTGGCAGGTCCCAGCAAAGCAAGGAAAAAAACGCAGATAACCAACATAAGAATGATGCAGAGAACCCCAAAAAAGAGCGCAGATAGCCAACAAAAAGAAAGATGCAGATTACTTCTTCTCTCCCCACCCCGCACCCCCAAGTGAAGATCAGTACGTGCATGGACCTAGGGCAGGGTAGGCCGAGTAGGCTCAAGGCTTCAAGAGGGGCGCTTGGCTTTGCTGTTATCCCTGCGCAGCTCTTCCATCTTCTGGTTCTATGGGCATCCATGGGGATCGAGCCCAAGGAAGTGTGCCCGCCCCGGAAAAAACGCGCCCAGAGATCCCCGCCGTGGCAGAAAGCGAGGCTCGAGGAGCTGGCCAGGAGGGAGGCGCCGGCTGCACGTCGGCTGCGCCTTTTGACAGATGTAGCCTTCTCTGGAGGGGATCAGCGGCGTGGAGGAGAAGGAGTCGCGGAGCCGATGAGGTATAGGTGCCTGCGGCTTGCGGGCTTCATGGACTTTCGAGTCAAGAAACTGCGATATGTGTGGCACATGCGCCAGGGCTGCCATAGTTGGAGGGCATTTGCGCGATGACAGCGAGCCAGCACTTCCAACCTGAATTGGACGTGCGAATCGCTTGTCAAGCTACCTGTGGCTGCCAAGTCCTCCAACAGAGGACGGAAGAGTCACTGAAGAGCCACTGAGTGGAGACAGCTACTCAGCTACTCGCAATACAATTCAATGTCAGTGACTCTGACAGGCCCGTTAGAGACCTTGCATTGCTGCCAGCATTGCGGCCATGCCTCCGTGAACGGAGACTTGAAGCCCGGGCTGCGGCACACGAAGCAGGCGCCAAACGATTCGGTGTCGTTCTGGGGATTCCAAGACGCACCAGCTAAGACCGCTACAACAGCGGCCGGCAGTGCAACAAGTACCAAGAATCGCACGCTGTGTTCACGGTGTACAGTATGACTTTGAGGCAAAACTCGCCGCCTCTTGGAGTTTCCACTTGCATCACAGCCGATAAGGCACTAGATGGCAACGTATGGCGGTCTGTGCATGGTTTGTGCAGTGTCGTGCCAATTCTGCTCTGGGCCACTCAAGCTCGGGGGCACTTTTCTGTTTGCGGCAAGCATATCGAAGAAGGGACTCAATCCAAACCAGGCCGGGTGTGTGCCGGTTGGCGCCTTTCACACCGAACTTCTCCCCGCGTCGCCCCGACCCTGACAGCAGGAAGAGGATGCTGCCGTCCCAGCCCCGTGGGAGCAGGCCAGGTCGTTGCCTGTGGCAGAGCGAGACAGAAAGAGCGGCAGATCGAGAGGCAGGAGGGAAGTAGAGCTCTTTCGGCTCTTTTTCTTTCCGCAGCTCTGCCCGGAGGCTTAGAGGACTGGCGGCGGTGGCTTGGAGGAACATTATTCCGTTGTGGAAACGACAGCGAGGGCACAGCGCACTGAGCGCAGACGGAATGGAAGGGGAGAGGGCATTTCTTTCTACTTTGTTCGTTCTCTCTCTCTCTCTCTCTCTCTCTCTCTCTCTCTCCTGTGGGAAGAGAGCATGCCCGTGCTGGAGGCACTGGCATCGGCGCTGCATTGCCTGGCTCCTCGCACCTTCGGCCGTTGTATGCGGCCTTCGAGGCCGAAGACGACCTTGGTAGGCCTGGATGGCGGGACGGGATCCGATTTGTGAGTTGTGTTTTGTTTTTGGGGGGTTTAGACAAGGGTTTAGGGTTTAAGTAGGGTTTAGGGTTTAGGAGTTTAGGGTTGTTCTTCAGATTGGTGCCAGGCCAGAAGCAATCCCAGGACTTCCTCAACGAGGCGCGGTGCCAAGGAGCACTCTGCTTGACATTCACAGAGGGCGAGAGTGCAGGCTGCCTCCTCCAATAACTCGCCCAGCGCTCGCCACCCGTCCAAGGAGTTCGGCCAGGGCCCAAGAGAGGAAGGGCGGGGGAGGGCGATGGAGGGATTCGGAGGAGCAAAAAAGAGTGGTGCGCACTCTCCCGAGAGGCCTGGTGCACCTGGACCCCGGCCTCGAAGGACCGCCAGAGCACCGGGACTTCGGCGGCGAGTGCACCGAGGCGCAGCGCAGCAGTGCAGAAAGGGCCCCCCACGCCCCCCCCCAACCCCACACAAAAAGCGCGGAATTCGGGTCACAGGGCCTGGTCACCGCCTTCGTGGCGGCCTCCTCCACCTGCATTATGTCGCTGTTGCAAGAGGTGCGAAGCCTGGCTGCACGCTTGGATTGTGACAGTTCTCGTCTGACTGCCAAGCTTCTCGGCCCATCTGGCACAGCTGTTTCAACATGGAAAGCCCCAGGCCGCAAGCCCTTCCACAAACAAACCTTCCCAGCTCAAGAGCTCCAGAGCTGCCCATGGGATGAATTGAGCCATGGCCTTCCGAGGCGGGCGATTTCTTTTGGGGGGGAATGAAAAAGGGACTAAGGCCGCTGTGAGCCGAGATTTTTTCTGCGGAGGCCTCCTGGGCCGGACCCTGGCACCGGCTTTCTGCAGGACCTCTGAGAACTCTTCCTCTTCCCGACAGCCGGGCGAGTTCTTGAAAAAAACGTGGATGGCAAGAAGGCTTTATGAAGGATGAATGGATGGACAGATGGATGGGGCGGGCGGGTGGACGGGATGAGATGATGTTCGGTGTTTACCAGGGCTTCCGTCGTGTTTCAAGATTCTTCTTCGTGTTGGACTCACACGTTTCTTGGCGAAACACGGGGCACACTTGTCACTGCGAGAGCCGATAGCTCCTATAGCTCAGCCTGCTCCAAAGGACATTCGCCACAACCGACGGCCCTTTCCTGTACCGCTTCAAGGCGAAACGCCTGAAGTGGAAGTCGGCGCCTGGGAAAGGGAAAGCAAACAAAGCCAACAACCGAAGAGAAGATGCGAGGGGCAGGAGTCAGCTGTGCTCCTGAGGAAGCGGCACTACAATGTCCGAAGCCTGGTCGTGAGAATCTCTTGGTGCAGTTTGTGGGCCACTCACTATTTTTTTAAGTGAGGAAGTCCTGGTCATGGCTGATCGACGCAAGCTCCTCGAGACCTTGCAGGCAGATCATGTTTCGAACTCCGACATTGATGCCTTCTCCCGAATGACGGCAGGAAGTGATCGACACGCCCAGCAAGGACTTCCCCAAAGCATTCTGGGAGGTGCTCAGCGATTTTTCACTTCGTGAACTCACCTCCACCTCTCCTCCCTCCCTCCGTCTCCAACACGCCAAGAACGAATCAAGAGCTCCATGATCTCTTGGCTCTACTAGGCTCTTCTGGGCCTCGGCTCTTCTCCTTCTTGCTCTCCTCTCGGCTCTTCCCTTCCCTTCCATCCTTGCTCCTCCTCGCCTTTGCTGCTCTTTGCCACTCCTGGCTTTGAGGTTCTTTCCAAGAGGCCTCGCTCTCGGCCTTTCGTGGGCTCCGGCTTTTTGTTCTTCCCTTCCCTTGCCTTCGCCTTCCAAGGTGTTTGAAGTCCCTGCATTTGCTCGAACCCACGGAGTTGGCCATCGTGGCCCGGGCGTTCGACGTGCACGAGTCGGGCGCACGAAAGAGAGCGTCACTCCGCTGGGCTTCTCTGTGCTTCGGCGACCTGCAAAGGCCGTCGTTGAATCGGAGACTGGACGTCTTCCAGCCCCTGGCGGCTCAGGCGGCCCTGGCACCTCTCTGCGGGCACCGCTGGCATCTGTAGCGCCAGGTGAGGAGCAGCACTGTCGCTGGGGCCACAGGAGGACAACACGCAGCTACGAGATTCAGCCGAAACCTGTATAGCCAGTCAGGTCCCGGGCATTGCGGTGCTCGCCTTGAGCGAGATCCTCCCTCGCCGCCTTCAGGGCGCAAAGGAGGAGGATGGGAGCTAACTGCCAGCGAAAGTAAGTGGTGCATGGCAGTGCGGAAGATGTTCTTTCAACGGGAAGAACGTTCCCCAGAAAGCGTGTAGCGTGGGTAAACCAAGACCAAATTGGCTGTTAATTACATACTTTTGTAGAAGCATATGCATCCTTGAGTCCTCAAGTTCATTTTGACTCTGTGGGTGGCCCAGCATTGAAACGATCAAAACTAAGGTCCTGCTGAGCTTCAGAGCTCATCGATGCTAGCCAGCGGTTTTCTTCAAATGAAACCCATGGCACCCGGCATCACGAATTGAAGTAATCACTCTTTTCACGCCAACGAACGAAACTCAAGAGGTGACTGAGCGACTGCGAAATGTACAGTATGCATCGCTGCTAAGTCTTCAGTACTGCTATACAATTAGAGCGGTATGCTTCTATGCCATCGAGGCATTATGCTTTTTGCTATACATCGAAGCATGCTCAAAGGGCCTTTCGTAGCCATCCCCTTGAGATGGTATGACGGCATAATCACACTGGACACATCAATCAGAACTTGACCATCAGCA